AGGTCCGGGCGTCCGGGCTCTTGAAAAAGGGGCCAAAGAGGAGAGAGAAGGGAAAGAGGCGTATGAGCAAAACACGCCTCCTGGGGTGCTGGGTGGAATGTTGACCTCGGCCAATCAGTGTCTGGTATCCCGGCTCGTCAGGTGTCAGGTGTCAGGTGTCAGCCGTGCGAGAGTGCCTGAGTTGTCGCCACGTTGCGGTGATTCTTTCTACCTTAGAGCACCTCCGTATCAACTCAATGACACGTGCCAAAATTCAGCGACCTGGGTGCGGGAACTGACTTTGATTCGTTTCTTCGTCCTTTTTCGCCCCTTCATAAGTGGTCCTCTCTCTCTCTCTCTCTCTCTCTCTCCTTGGAACCAAAAGCGCTTACTACAGTACTTCAAATCGTACATCTCAGAGCACAATCGCAACGGCACATATATACGCACTGACCCTACCTAGGCAACTCGGAGACAGTGACACGGCTTCCTTCCGTGTCTGCAGTACTACCGAGGGATAGGTGGACTACGACCGACCATCCATGCGTGCACAGTAATATAGAGGGAATCCACGTGTTGTTGAAATGACGTGAAAGATTGACATTTCAGGAAGTTTTGACGTGAAGAGGTTGCGCCGCTTTTTTGGGGGCAAACTCTGACGGCGAAATTTTTGTGAGGAAGCGTCAAAATTAAATTTCACCCAAAGATAAAACGACGCGAAAAGATTGACGCTTCAAACATCGCCAGACTGTGGCTCACACACGCTTGCTCTGCTGCGGTCTGCTGTGCGCGGTCAGCAGCGAACACATTGGCCATGCCTATACTGATTGCTCCTAGCGGTCCTGCACCCACGCGTCTCGGCAGTTCTCACGGCGGCCAAGTGGCCAGACGCGCGTGTTCGGCGCGCGCGTTCGGTAGATGCGCCGTCGCGATTGCGCACGGGCTTTCAGCAGCAAAAAGGGGCATAGGCAGGGGAGTGATTGGGGGAGTCTCGCCCACGAAGGCAGCACATGGAGAGGAGTAAGGGAGGGTACACGGACTTTGCCAGTCAGTAGGTGCATTTCGCCCGCCCCCTCACGGGGTTCGGTGCTCTGCTGCCGCAGTGACATCGGTATATACACAGCAGTGCAGCGAGCAGCTGCCTTACTCATCAGCAACGAACGGCAGTTTGACGCCTGGGAAGTCGCAGTTTGACGCCTGGGAAAAGTCGCCGCGGCAAAGGAGGGAAGGTCGGCGGGATGAGGCGAAGGGGTACACCTAGTCTCCTGGGAGCCTGGGGGTGTGAGTCTTCGCTTCGGAATGTCGACCCTGGGTGGCAGCCCGAACCAACCTTGAACTCTACCTCCACCATTTATTTTTTTTCACCTCTCACGTGTCAACGGGCACACGCGGTGCGAATTTTTTCCCGTCAAAACCCTCAACCGTCACTTTATGTTGGCGTCAATCCTCAAAGGTCAAAATTCCGCGTCAATCCATAGTGGATACCCTATAATGATACACAATTTTGGGGTTTGGGTCTGAGGTGGGGCACTGCTGTGAACCAATCACCAATCACAGGCGAGGACGTGGTTCTACTGCGTAACAGGGATGGTTCTGCCATGTAGTTGGCCGGTTCCAAGGAATGCTTGTGGTCGACGTATGTCGGTACTCGCGAGGTAGTCACGGGTTATAGGGTCGTTCTTATCGACTCGACCAATAAAACACGAAAAAAAAACGAAACCGTGTTTTGTTGAACACATATGGAGGCGTTTTTCCCCGAAAGCGTGAAAAGAAGGAGCCGGGTTTATTGGGGGCTTGCTACTTTAACGAATCCGTGTTTTTGACAGAAACATCGGACAAGCGCACCGCGGGCGCTGTAACATCACTGAAAACGCTAGAAAGACCTGCCAGACTCACGTCCAGGTCTGTTGTGTGGAGATGGACAAGCGGCAGAAGCGGCGTTCAGTCCGTTCTTGGCCCAAAACTAGGCATTGCGTGGTGCTCTCGTCTTCAACTGCTGCTGTTGGTGCTGTTTTTTTTTTCAATCACACATAGCAAACACGGAAACAGTAGAACGAGTACAGCAGCAGCACCAAGACCTCCAACGCGCTGATTCCTTCGGTTCGGCTGTCTATATGATACCATCTCCCGGCGCCGTGCTGCTTCGTGGGTATTGGGTGCTTGGATGCTGCTCAATAAAGTGTGTGAGAGACGTGTGCCACCTCACCAAAATGCCGATGGAAAAAATGCGGCGAGATGATCTGTTTTTGGTCGGACGCATCAACATCAATCCAAGGCACCACGCAGCAGTAGAGCAACAGGGCCTCCGACAAGCCAATTCTTTCGAATTGGCCATCTATATGATGCTGGCCGTCAGCGCGGCTGCCGCCCTATGATTGTTGAGCTCGTCTACCTTTGGGCAGGTGGTAGTCAAAGATGGGAGTCGCAACCGTGAAAAATGAGCTGGCAAACTGAAGAAATCGCAAGCAACACCAAGGTGGCGACACTCTGCCCTGCGCCTGTTGTTGCTGAAAACTGAAAACAGCAGGCCAGGTGGACGGAATCTTTCTAAGTGTGTTGTCCTCTGTGTCGGGTGCTGCTTGTTGCGCTTTCACCGCTGCTCTATGGTGAGCAATACCATGTCAACCTGTTGTGTGTCGAGTGTCGAGCAAAACGCGTATTCAGGGAAAGAAACGAACTCTTCGCGATGATATCACGATTAGAACAAGCGAAAAATAATCGGATCTTCTTTTTACCGTTCCGTGAAAAGAAGCTTTTCTTTGTCGTTGCGTTAACAACGACCCTTACCGATGCACGCAAGATGGAATCAAACGTGGTCCATGGTCTCTTGTTGCCCCCACAGGTGCGCGCCTAATCAGCAAGGGCACCTATTGGAACTTAACGCTGCTCAACCCAATTTCATAGTGCTATCCAATTCTATGTTTTACGGGGTAGCAGACGTCGTTAAACCTCCGTCTCTGCAGCCGTGATGGGGACCCTGTGCCGCATTCGCCACTGTTTTCGGGATATAGACTACATGTAGAGCGCGCCGTCACTCGATCAAGAACTTGAGCCTCAAACACATTCCAAAATCAAAGAACGGGTGCTCAGTTCCGACGTGGTATTAAGAACAAGAACCCGCCTTTGTGGTGCACCAATGCGCCTACACGGCAGCTCACAAGACAAAAAAGCACTCAGGATGATCGGGGGTGACCCCAACGTCCGCAGTTAGTTTCAGATTCGGGGCGGGAGGGGGGGAGGCACCATCGGAAAAAATGATGGTACGCGCGGAGGAGGGCGTGAAGGAGTGCGTACTCATGTTTTGCGCGCCTTAGCGGTTAGACCATTGACCACGCGTCCTCGAGAGGACGATGCAGCAACGTTCCAACAAGGCCGATATAAGTATGGCCAATGGTTCCTTCCTACTTCGCCAAAGGTGGCCTAAGAACATTTTTCCCTGGCCTATCTGTCTTATCGATATCACTTTTCCCGCCTTTTCACCCAATTCATAGCCCCATCACAGCTTCCTACCGTCTTCTCCTGGCTGGTCCATGCCTCAAACATCTATTTTCTCCTTCTGTCTCTACTTTTCCCAGTTCAGAAATGTACTTTCTTTCTCCTTGTCGTACAACGGATATTCTGCAACTGCAGTACATGAACGAACCTGGTCTTCGCAATCGGAGCCACATTGATTCGCATTTGGGGGGGCTGATAGCACTGCTGAATCCTGACCTCAAACCGGCGATGATTATTGATGGAAGTTGTGGATTGGATGAGGCCTTCTCCGGCGGACTGTGCTCTCGCTCATCCTTCATTGCAAACGAGACGTGAATACACGAAAACCTCCTTCAACCTGCGGTACCGACTCCTACAGTCCCGCAAATGCGGCAAGTTGTTGTTTGAACGCGGGGGACATGGGCAGCTCACGAGCGTCCACATAACTCTTCCTGCCAACGTGGCAGCTCACTATGTAGTGTTCGGAACGAAAGAAGGTAGTGACCTCTTAACGCTTACCAATCCCAACATATCCGATAAGATCCGTGGACCAACAATTAGTTCCAAATTTCATTGGACCCATGAGGTCTGAACGGAATTCTGCTGCTGGTGTTAACCACGCTGTTGTAATCTCAGTGTCGCGTTGAAAGCCACCCAGAAAGACCTGTGTGCTCTGCATGGGGAAATCGGCATAGAAGTATGAACAAGAACCCCGTTTATCCTATGCGCAAAGACAGAACTTGCCGAAAACGAACATGGACTTGGTTTGAGTCAACCAATAAGCGTCGATCCTCACACAAACTAAGCGGTTCTTGGTGTCGCCTTGGTAGTGTTATTTCGCCGCTCTTTCCAGGTTCACGTGCAAGTACCGTCTGTTGACGTTGCCTATGTACACCACACACCGTCTGCTCATGGATACCTTCACTGGCCCAGAGGCGGAGACAAGGCATCGGTCGGGGACATGGCACCGCGGTGCGTGAATACTCTACCGCCGCAGTACTACTGTCGTGTGTATTTCATTTGGTATTGCGACGGTCGGAGAGACCACCGGTATACCGTGAAAAAGCTAACAGAAAGGATATCATTGCATTTCCGAAGCGGGTCGGAGAGATCTCACCGGTGCACGACAAATGAAACGAGGAAAACTCATTTAGAAAAAGCATTCGCACCCGGTCCCATTTCTCTGCCTCTTAAGGTTCTCTTAGAATAGAACATCTCGGAGCTCACCTTTGTCGTTAGCATGGCTGAACTTCGTCGAGCTCCCCAAATATGCCATTTATTACTCTTTACACTGGGAGAAACGAGGCTTCCTACTAATCATTCTGACCCAGCTACTCGCATAAATCGCGTTGCACACCCAAAAGTACTCACTCGTCGGTGAAACAACCCGACAACTGGCTCTCCACCAGTTGTGAACCAGCGCGTCGTATTCTACACCCCGGGGCACTTGAGAACATTGATACAACCACCACACCGACGAGATTTCACAGCACAACCAACCAGCAGCCGAGGACAGGAGGGGGCTCCTACTCGATACCTAACGAAGAGCATCAAAAACAAATACGAGAACCGAAATCACTGCGGGTGGCATTTTCTCAACATCAAACAATGAGAATAAGATCACTCGTGCCAGCAGAATTTCTTGACTTCCTCTAAGCATCACCACGGACATGCTGCCACTCGTTTTCTCCCCGCAATGTACTCTCGATGTGATGGCCTGAAAAATCGCTCTTAGTTAATGACGCTCGATTCCCCAATTCTGCACTCCTCCTCCACCCGGTTCGTGGCCCAAGGATGTCCCTCTACCTCCGTTCGCCTTCCTTACGTGCGAAACCATCACAAGCAGTATCGCATACCCCCCATCTGTCACAACACTTTCAGTAAGAGTCAAAGAAATGAGAGTCAAAGAAACACACAAATTTTCCCACAATTTTCCCGCCCGTTGACCTGGGTTGGCTTCCCGAGCGCATCGCCCGAACGACTGCCCTGGTGGTGACAACCGTCACACAACGCACTGGCCGAAAAAGAGAACGACCAGCATCAGACGATTGCGCACTTACATCGATCATGAATTCCACATCACTCCACGTTCTTTGCGATTGGAATGACAGCACGTGGTGAGCGATACCCCAAGCTGCGACCTCTGTTCTTCGGCGCATTCCGGTGTACAACGATCGCTTGGCGTACCCTTTGCAGAAAGCACGCTTGTTGCTGCCTCCTCACCAAGTGTTGGCTGGTCAACGGGCGGACGTACGTACCTTTGGGTGCGCACGTTTACCATACCCTGCTTCGCGTGCATTTTGCAGAACTCGCGCGTTTTGCTGCCGGTTTCGCCATACGACGGTCGCGTGATGCACCCTGGGTGGCCACACCTCTTGCTTACGACGTTAACCATACCGGTCGCCGCGTGTTGAGAGCAGAATTCCACCTTCTTGCTGCCATTTACGCCGAAGCTCGGAATTATAACACACCTGGGTGGCCGCACCTCTTGGCGTGAACGTTAACCATACCCTTCGTTGCGTGCTGAGAGCAGGCCTCCGCTCTCATGCCGTAGGCTTCACCATATGACGGCTGCTTGATGCAACCTGGGTGGCCACACCTCTTGTTGATGACGGCAATCATACCCTTCCTCGCGTGCTGAGAGCAGAACTCCACCTTCTTGCTGCCATTTACGCCGAAGCTCGGGACTGTGACGCACCCTGGGTGGCCGCACCTCTTGGCGTAAACGTTGACCATACCCTTCGTCGCGTGCTGAGAACAAAACTCCGCTTTCTTGCTGCCATTTACGCCGAAGTTTGGGGCTTTGACGCCCCGGGGTGGCCGCACCTCTTGAGGTAAACGTTTACCATACCCTGTTTCGCGTGCTAAGAACAGAACTCGCGCTTGCTGCTGTCATTTACGCCAAAGCTTGAGACTTTGATGCACCCTTGGTGGTCGCACGTTGTGGTGCAGACGTTTTACCATACCTGCTGAGAACAGAACTCGCGCTTGTTGCTGCCGTGTTTTCCAAATGACGCACTTTTGATGCACCGTGGATGGCTGCACTTCCTCGCGACGACGTTAATCATACCCTGCTTCGCGTGCCTCTTGCAGAATTCCGCCTTCTTCACGCGTGCACCAGTGTTCCGATATGGCGGCAGCTTGTCGTCGCCTGAAAGAGATTCGCGAGATGTCCTATGGTTAAACTCAAACGACCGAATTGATATCTACAGTCAAAAGGGGTAGAATGTCGCACCAGGTACGCCGCTATGGAGGGTGAATACAAAATGTCCAATACGACAATGCGAAAAATGGGCACCCAGTGAAGCCAAAGATCTTGAGTGGAACATGTTGGGGAATGACGTGGAAAGGTATTGGCTTGGATACTTTGAACTCTGAACCCCTGGAGGAGCACAACTACACGGTGCTGATCTCCGCAATCTTACCCGGCGGCTACACTCCTGTTCACCTTTCAGCGACGTTGGATGGCCGGCTGCCAGCTGTCGGCACGCTTCACTGCGAGAGGCTCTTGGCTGTCCCCCACAGCTTGCGCTTGCCCCACCTTCCCTGCAACGAGTCATCCAACACGTGCAAGAAATGGATCTCGTTGATGCCTCGAGGCGCCATCTCCAAAACGCCAGCCTGAGGTTACAAAGAAAATTCAACCCACCTGAACATTGGGAAGTACATCCAGCCATCCGCAGTATCTGACCATGCAGAGGTGGATGTACTATCAACAACACCGCTTGTTGGGGCAGAACGGGCAAAGGAAAAAAAGCAAAGACAATGTCAAGACAGAGCCCTAAATGAACCCCAAGAATTCGACAAAGCCTCTCCGGTGACTTGTATCAACTTCAACGGGATGCATCTACCCTGACCCGCCGGTGTGTCAAACGTTGTTCACATTATTGCCCAGAAGAGCGGCGATTTTCAAAGCAGGTCGTCCGGACAATGCTCTCCGTGAGGGTCGGCAGTTATCCAGATCCATACCTCTCCACCAGTACCCCTTCGGTGCGACAGGTATCAAACATGTCTACTGTACATACAGAAACAACACCATGACCGGTGGAGTACCTCCTCTTCGCGTCGTTCCTCCTGCGCCCTCTGCTCCTCCTTCTCCTCACCGTGCTCGTCTTCCCCTCGCTTCTCTTCCCCGTCATCCATCTCGAGAAGGGCCTAATGATGTTACTCAACCCCAACACACGGGAACTGCATTGTTGTGTTTGCAAGAAGGTGAGATAGTGTGTGGAACATTTCTACAAGGTGGGGGAAAGGGAGGGAAGCTCCTAGTGTAGTCCATGGTACAACTCAAGTACCCAAAATCGCTCAAAGACTACAACCGGCATACCTGCTGCCACCCCCAATCAGTCTCGGCAGATCAGACCGTGGCGACGTGGACCAGCAACTATATTGTGATGACCAAGTAAGTGGAGACAAAGTGACACGAGAGTAATACTTTCCAATATCAAGCACAACGTGTACCTCTGACGGTAGTAAGCCGATGCCGACGGTTAAACTTCTTCCACCACACGGGGATCAACGAAAACGTAGCCATTACCATGAACATCAGGTGCAGCTGTGCGTTTGCGAGGCGGTGTCGTGGAGACACTGAGCAGGAACGCGTGTCTTTGGTACAACCAGCAAACTCTATATCGAACCCAAACATCCTCGCACAGCACGAGACAACCTGGAATACCTACGTCAGTTTCCTGTCTTTCCTGATTGGTGCTTTCAACCTCTGGAACAACATCATCGACGTATGGTAAATCGTGCTCCTCTCCTGTCACTTCGGTGTCCCGTGGTGTGCAATGTTTCTCCTCGTCCGATCCCGTCATGTCTGACTCGCAGGTCTTCACGGCGAAGAGTACGACAGGCGTAAACGTGATCCACCCGAGGGCAGAGGAAAGTGAAGATAGTCGCAGGTCTGTTGAGGTATTCATGCCCTGACACCCCTTCCGTCCATCACTGGCACATGCGGGGGATATGCCGAGCTTCCGACTACACATGTGGCCGGAACTGCCCATCTTCCGTAGTGACAAGTCTCACCTTGATTGCCACCGTGATGCCACCAACCTCGGCTCCAGCCGATGACGTTGAGCCTGTGTGCAACATGGCACCGGTTGCGACAAGCATGGCATTGTGGTTGCGCAAACAGGTATATGTAGGTGACACGACAGACGGAACGGGCAGCAAGAGCATGGGTTGCCATTACCCACAGGAAAATACACGCCCACCCCTACTCTACCGTCCCCATTCTTACCGGAATCATTGCTGACGCCGTTGTCACCACTCGACATTCTCCTGAAAGAGGTGATCGAACCAGCAGGAAGAGTTACGCGGTACAAGGGTCCACCAAAGGCAAACGCAGTGGGAGCCCGCCGTTAGCTCATATCAACCGTAGCCTCTCTTCGGAAAGCCTATGCACGCGAAAAGTAGAGTTTTTCTTCGATATCAACTTTTTCAAACGACGTGCAAAAAGTGAGAATAGGTAGAAAAATGTGAAGCACAGTACGAAAGTACACAAAGCATTGAACAATGTATTCAGTAAGTCAAGAGTATACCTATCCCGCACGACCGGTGGGTCAATTTCCAATTTTATGGATGCTCTTGCTGCAGTTTTAGGCGCCTCTGCTGTATTCACTGTCTTCTTTAGTGCTGTGAAGGTGGCGGCCGCTGCTGCTTCCACTGCTTGTGCTGATGATACCGCCGCCATTGTTGTGTCGGCCGCGGCCTCTGCTGCGTTTACCGCCTTCACGGCCTTGACTCCCTGCGCCTTCGCCATTCTGGCTGCTCGAGACACCCTTGCACATACTTGAGATAGAGGGAGGGCGCCAACGCCGGTCGTACGAGCTACGACCTCTTCATTGACGGCTTCAAGGCTGGAAAACGCGACTCTAAGCTTCGCCGAAGTGTCCGTCAATTTTTCTCTTGCCGCTGCCATATCGCGTTGCTCTGCCTGTAGTGAAGGCCATGCAGGGGACGGGAGGGTGGAGGTTGTAACCATTGCTTCGATGTGCTTAGCGTCAACGTGCCAGGATCGATAGCGCGGGTCCTAGTAGTGGTTACAGCCGGAGGTACTGAGTGATGGTGGCTACGGAACCCTGGAGGAAACGGGACGGGTTTGGTAGTGTCTCAAGTGTGTGTAGCCTGAACCGGCACAACCGAGGGTATAAAATTCGAATCGTGCTTGAGCCGTGCGAGACCATGGGCAACAACATAAAACTGACAAGAAGAGAACGTAGAGAAACACAAAGAACAGCAAATGGCGTGTTCGCGTGCTCAGGCAGCTGACCGGATCACGTGACGTACAGAGGGCCGTTGCGCGGCGACGTGAGGCTTCGCCACGCGGTATTTCGAAACGCGAGCGTTGTCAGTGGAAAGAGACGTTCTCGAAGCTTTGCAGTTGTTCTGCGACGAGCGACGAGTCCGTAAGTCCGGTTGACAAGACGAAAACAGTTGGTTGGGAAAACGTTTGATCATCGATAGGTTGGCTGAGCTCGTGGGTTTCGCGCATACCGAATCCCACTCTGGATCCTGCTCAAAAAAACAACAAAAGCTCTGCTGAAGGTCAGGTTTGTGGCGACATATCGCTTGAAGCAAAAAGCGGTCTTGCCAGATGGGCAACGACAGGACAAACGATGGTAATACACGAGTCCAACTGCTGTTGTTTCATCTCCGGAGTAAGATCGGGCTTTGACATATGGTAACATATAATAATGAGCCGCGAAGCGCGAAGCGCGACTGTTCTTTTCCCTCCGTTCCAGGACGGAAAGGCAGGCTCTATATATCGGTCTCTTTGTTCCACCGCGCGATGCACTGGCCCAAAACGTGATCTCCAGGAAGCCTAAATTACCCACCGTTGGAACCAGAACGAGATCTATATGGCACCGATTAACGATCTTTCATCTTGTGAGCAAGAGCAGAAGAAGGTCACTCTTCACCACACCGGTTTGGTTGTGCTCCGACAGCAGATGGCCGTGTTTCACCGGCATTTGTACCCAAAATCCATAAAAGAGATACTCCCTCCCATCCCCGGGAGTTGCCCAGGTTATTGAGGAACAACAAATCGGAGATCTCCTACGCACATACACGCGGTTGGTTCACACCAATAGACACAGAGGAAGCAATATAATAAGCGAAACAAGCAACACCACCGGGACTGGCAAGACAGCACTGGTGGGGGAAGGGAGCCATACACGGAGCTAGTGGCGGATGCCATTGTCATTGCTGTTGCTTCGTTACATGCAAACCAAACCTTGACCTGGGGAAAACGCATACTTGTGCAAACTAATCCCAGCAGACGGCGTGCTATTTTCAGGCTGTCCCAGACTCTCGGCCTCGCAATTTCTGAGCGTCGGATCTGTATCAATCACCACACAAGACGGAACATGGACACATTCCATGGTGGATACCTTTGTTGCTGCTGTTGCTTCGGTGTGTGGGGATGGGTCAACTTGAAACAGAGCTGTGCCACGGGAATAAAGTACACAAGAAGAGCCTTTCATTTTTTGGCGGGGTGTTTTTCTGGCATGCATGCAGTGCTCGCCACCTCAGCTTCCGTGGCCCCTTTGGTCCCGTGGCCTCGGTCAGCCTCCACACAAGACGTGGCATACACACAGCTCGCGGAGAATAGCTTCACTGCTGCTGCGTCACTCCGCACAGAGAAACCACCGAAAGACCAAATCGGTATAAGAACATACGTAAGACGTACGCATACAGGTCTACCGTCGGTCAAATAAGGTACCACACCCCTTGTATCGAAATTTAAAGCTCGAGTATTCCACGACGAAGAGGATGTGCGAATCAGCAAGACTTTGTCGGAAAAGCTCTCGAAGAGACGGCTCCTTCACCAACATTTTCGGCGCCGCCACGCTTTGTCGTGTGGAGCAACCGAACTTCGAAAATTGGTCCAGGGTGTGGTATCTTGATCACCTACGGTACTACTGCATGCGCACGAATCCCAACGGTCGTTCGTTGTAGAAGAAGCCCCTCTTTTGTTATTCTTAATATGACCCATGGAATCCATTTTAATCTCTTTTTCTGTTGTTGTTGATGACTTGGATTCAAAATTCAAAATGAACGCGAAAAGCATCTCAGGTATATTGACCGCTGCAAGGTATTGAGTCGTTACCCCGCGGCTCCTTACCCCGCCCTATCTAGTAACCATCTTGACATGGCCAGGCCTCATATTCTGCCATCGATGGTTACGCACTTGTCCCAGCCTTACCCCCCTCTCTCCTCTTGGCAACTTGTCCGTCAATTGTCTATGCAAAGGTGAGTGTGCGTTTAGGCGGGCATTTTCTCTTCTATGTTTGTGTTCATGTTTTCATGTGGGTGATTAGACAACGCGGAAGTCCATGCACACACATCATGCCCTAATGGCTCGCGCCGTGCAGAACCGGTGACTCCGTGGAAAAAAAAAAAAACGAGACTATTTTGCGGTTTTAACCGCGGATGTCGCGGTTTTACCCGGATTATACTATGACGGAGCAGCTCGAGCCGTTCGGTGAAAAAAAAAAATGTTCGGAATGTTGAGAAACCTTCACCGGAGCGGTTTATCCGAGGACATTACTCACACGGAGTGGAGCGTTTTTTTTTTTGCTCATGTCGCGGCGCGGTTTGTTTCGTTGCAAAATCTCAGAACCGCTCCGCCCCGGTAGAAAAAAAACGCTCCGTGAACACTCCTGCCACTTTTCTTTTTTTTTTGGCCTTCAGAGCACTCGAAAATCAGCCCGGGGTGTGTGGAATATCATGCAACTTGTGGTGCACATTAAGATCCCGTGCCCATCGTGAGGCCCTACGGCTAGAGAACCTAGCGCCTCTGAATGAAACTCAAAACCCGTTTGCCAAGGAGTGCCACCCACCAAGAAAGATGGAACAGGACGATGTGGCAGTGGGAAGACCCCGACCACTGCTCGTACGCGGTCTGCAGGTTACCACGCTACAACACCGCCGTGGTGTAGGAGATGCCGTGTTTGGGCGATTTGGAACCACGAATGCCTAAGCAATCGGACGAGGTGAGAGCAGATGCTCCTCTTGCGGCGGTTTCGTCTGTGGGCGAGTTGCTCTAAATAGGGCAAGTTTCCCTCTCGCTGTAGTGCTTGCTGGGGAAAAGGGGAGAGCTACAACACCGCCGTGGTGTAGGAGATACCGTGTTTGGGCGATTTGGAACCACGAATGCCGAAGCAATCGGACGAGGTGAGAGCAGATGCTCCTCTTGCGGCGGTTTCCTCTGTGGGCGAGTTGCTCTAAATAGGGCAAGTTTCCCTCTCGCTGTAGTGCTGGGGAAAAGGGGAGAGACCAGAAGGCAATCACACGCCTTCTCTCATTTCTTGGGGCTACCCAATAAGCTGGAATGTTGACCTCGGCCAATCAAATCAGTGCCTGGTATCCTCTGGGAGAGGATGGCGGGGGTGTAGTCGTGCAGTCATCATCCACTTTTTTCTTGTCTCCTTGCGCCCCAACCTTTGAACGAAGAGACTTGTGCCAATAGTAGAACGACTCTCGGGCAAGAACGTACAGATGTACAGGCGTAGCATTCATCTAGGAATTCCAGCCGGAAAGTTCCTGGGTCCTGGAAAGTTCCCGGAGTCTGGAAGAACTGTTCCAAATTGGTAACCAGGTGGCACCGAAACACACACAACGGGCAGTATACCTTGCGCCGTTAGTTGTGATTGCCTTGGAATTTCATTACCTCGCCTGCTGTGTTCGTATGTGCTGGTGTGCGGACTCCATCTATGGTAGTTATAGTATACTGCCTGTAGTCGTTGAACCTCTCACCCCAAAAACCACACCACCCGAAAGTTGCACCGCTTCTGACACATGCAACGTGTGTCGCACCGACAGCAACGGTTATATGCCAACCTGAGATCTGCAGCCTTCTTTTGGTCTATCCTATTCTTACTCTACAGCAGACCTGCTTTGTGGGGGAAGCGGGTCAATACATCTCGAGGCTTAAACCCCGGCGCTTTGAAGACTCCGAAAATTGCACGCAGGTTGACAAGTTGCCCGATGCTTTGAGAAGTTGGACTTGGGTGGACACTCCTTCTCACATGATGATGGGGTCGACACGTCCACACATGTCCAGCCACAACATCTGCACGGGCTGTGGTTGATCAGCTCTTGGCTCGGGGCAACTCAGGCTATCTTGCCCCTTGACGACGATTGGTGTCCAACCTTCCTTCCCATAGGTAAGTGGTTAACTCCAGGGTGATCACTGCTGGTAGTCGTGCTGCTGCTGTACAGTGTTCCTGATAAGCCGCCCGCCCGCCCGCCCGAACAAACTCTTGTGTCAAGCGGTACAGCAGTAGGTAGGTGTAAAATATTACCTGCCTCAATTGCCGTTCACTTGACATATGTACAATGGAGATACCACCTGTGCCCCAAAGGCGTTGGCCGCTCTGGATTGGTCACCACCCCGAAAACGTGATCCGACATGGTAGGTGCGACTACCTACAGCAGTACCTCTACGGCGGTACCACACAACAGCAGCACGCAATACTACTACTGCTGTACCTTCTAATCCCACTTTTTTTTTTTTTTCTACTTTTTTCAGACTGCCCTCCTCCTTCCTCGCGCTCTGCGTCCAGCCCGCACAACGTACCTCGAAACGCGCAGCAGGAGGTGTAAACTGGTGTCCAGCGCCGTCAAAAGTTGTTACACATATGAGCCCGGTTGAAACAAGTGGAAGGTGCTTCTCGTCGTATGTTGTTAGAAAAATACGATCAATGAATACTGCGCTGTAACTACCCGCTCGTGATTAAGCTACAGCTACAGCATTCGACAGACTACGTAAATACAACAGCCATATGAGTCCTCGTGAAGCCCTCTCGTTGTTTTTGAGCCACAGCAGTTTGGCTGCTTCTGTCCGTGAGAAGGTTAGCCATCGCGTTCCCCTTTTGTCCTTCGTGAGCGAAGTACGTTGAGCAAAATGTGAATGAAAAGCTCACCACGCATGTACATGTATAGCTGATCATGTATACTCGGCAACTAAACACTGCTGCACTGCTGTAGTTTGTATAGTTGGAAGAACAATACCCAGAAACGGGTTTACCCGGGTGGGTTATCACCAATTTAGGGTATACACTTAGAACTCAACATATGGGCAGCTCATTGGCCGAAACACCATCGTACCCACTTTTGGAGAAACCTCCATCGGGTACAACCGGCGCTGGCATCTCGACCTTCTAGTGTAACCGATACTGGCTGCTGTTGTACCCCAAAAGGGGTCGATTTGGTACCCAGAAATGGTCATATAAATCGGGCGCTCGACGAATCTAGCATAAAACCCGCAGAAAAAACCGTGTACCGCACATACATACCCACAACCAAACCACCAACAACGCTCGTTGATGGCGCCTCCGTAGGATACCGGCCCCTCTCGACAGAGGGTCAGACTCGCTTGACGCGCGAGTTCGTTCGGTGTGGTGCTGATCAGTAAACGCACACAGAGAGAGGCACAGAGAGACAAAACGGGCACGAGCTTCCTCACGCATCATGCTTCCGAGGCACAGGACACACCTTGTTTTTTGTTTCGCCGCGATCTACGGCGGAGCCTGTCGGATATTGGTATCGTGTTGATTTCCAAGTGTACCCTGAAATGGTGATAATCCACCCGGGTACCCGTTTCTGGTTACTTCTCTTGTTGGCACATGCAGCAGTACAGCAATCACAGAAAGACAAAAAGCCGTTGACTAAAACCCGTTCGAGATAATGACCAAAGCAATTCGATTGGGGTGTGTCGAAGTCTCAACAGCAACAGTGAGTGGGAGAAAAACCGGCTGAAAGGTTTGCAGAGATAATTGAACTCACAACCCACCCCACTAGGGCATTTGTCCCTCTAACGTAACTGAGGAAAGGTTTTGGGGGATCGATTTCCAGATATCCTTCTCTGGGGAATAACTTTGTCGTCCTGCACCGTCATGCGTATGTGCGCTGTAAAGTCAACAAGATCACGCTGATGACATAATTTGGTGCAGGGGTAGCTCCGCTGACCGAAAAAGAGGTTGAGAGTTCGATTCACATCTATCAGCACTACTGCAGAATCGACATCTTCTTTCCGCATTAGAAACTGGGAACTGCGTAAAGCGTTGACGTTCGTGTTCTTTTGACGGGGACCACTGCTTGTCTTGTTCACAGTAGCAGCGTGTGCCACTGGAGGCTGTTCCTGCAGAAGATGGTGTTGAAAACTCCGCCATAGCCACTCTCGTGTTATAACAGGTGGTAAATATTTTCCCTTGCTGTAGGGGATAGCTCCTCTAGATGATCACTTCTGAGGATGGCCTCTCGAGCTCCTGCCTTCTGCTGAAACCTCCGCTGCTCGGTTTCTGACCATAGAGGGGGATGTCTCGCCCTAAAGCACCCTATACCAACAGCAGGAAACAGGGTTTCCGAAATCACCAAACAATACCATAGAACTCCCGGACCAAAGGGAAACTGATGTCTGTTCCTCCGATATCATCAGAGGTCCCCACAATACCGACAGAGCATCAAGTGTACCATGCTTGACCTTTATTGTTGACATCGGTTCTGCTTACTCCCATAAGCCCGGAACCCTCGGTTATCTTCCCAGATTCTGACAACGCCCAACCCAACTGTTCCCCGTTCATTTGGCACACTCGTTGGGCTTGTAGACGCCGTGTTTTGTCTAGCGTACATCCGTAGGGCCACAATGAGCACCGCGAGTGACCTGAATTGTTTCAGTCTCTGGCAAGGATGTTGAGTGGACTCCATATCCCCCCGACCGGTTCGACTCACAAGGCGAGTAGTGAACGTAAGGTTTAAGTCCCTTCTATTTTTTTCTCGCAACTCCTTTCCACCATAACCCAACTGACCCGCACACCACAAAGCAATTTCCACTGGCAAAAGGAAGGGGAGCCACTCTCACGCACCAGGGCCGGAGTCCTGCGGAGTTTCTAACCTTTACAATATCAAACTGACCCATACCCAAACGGCTAAATAGAGGCCCCGCAGAACATATCTAGATGAAGTACGAAACAGGGATATCTTGGGGCGAGATTGGTAGGTACACAATTGGTTTGTTGGAAACATACTTTGTCTTTGACAAATATGCACCGCGTAGTAAGTATATACCTGCTGGTTCGAGGGTTCCCAGACGCAATAGTAAAATCGAGAGGTGTCCTAGCTGAATACCGGCAGGAAGTCCCGATCGCAGCTGTTTGGGGTGTACGGCCTGTCCACTAAGTCGCTCGGATATCGTAGGACGATTCCATCAGGGTTCGTTTTCCCTACTCTCCGCAGCGTTGTCTTGCCCGCGAATAATGTGTTGTCGCGGGCACGCGTGAGACCCATTCCGAACGATCTTACCCGAACTTGCCTAAGCAGGCAGACCGTCGTACTCGTACAAGCAGACCTTGACGTGACATCTGCAATATTTTTCTCCTTGAGCAGGTGGAGCAAGAACTCCGCTACATTCGAACGGTCCGACAAACGGGTCGCTAGAGTACGCAATGGGATGGGATTGGACCCCATGCGCTCGGATGCGGTGGTACTGGGTACTTGCTTGTTTGGTGGCGCTTGTGAGGACATCCGTGGGTGCCGGCGGCCCGGCCGATAACCGTGACGAGGACAAAGTTACCATCCAAACAATGGAGTGGGCCAACGCCACGGGTACGGGAACCCTTCTAGCAATATCAAGGCATGCGTCTTGCGCCGATATTGTTGCTTGGTTGCCTCCCCAATTACAACCTGCGGTGGTGTTCCAGGTTGTGTCCAAAGCTTATGTCAGCGTGCAGAAGAATTTTATTTCTAACATGGAGCTGCATTCGACTTTCTCCCGAGAAAACATGTACCTAATTTGTCTAGACGAGGAATCTGTAGAGAGTTTCGGGGCTCTGGGGATACGTTGCGTTCGCTTTGGCTGCATGGGTTGCCCAGTATCACGCCACCACGTATGGGCGTTGAGGATTGAAGTCAGCGTATGTCTTTTGAAAGCTGGCATAGATGTTTTGATGTCGGACGCCGACGCTGTTTGGCTCCACGACCCGATGGATGACTTCGACTCTGATGATTATAGGGACAGCAGCATTGTCGCTTCGAGGGGCGCAATGCCGGTTCCCTTGTTCCGCACGTGGGGGGCGACCATTTGTATGGGCTTTGTCTTGTTCCGCGCTGGGAGCAACGCAATTTATCAATTCATGGAGGTCGTGGGAGAGTTCACGGAAGAATTGGAGAATGATCAACAGGCGGTGAATCTAGCGTTGCAAAAGCTCGACGTCGTGTGGGACCCAACGAGTGATATGAGTTTCTCCGACAGCACGCGGTCAGGGGTGGGGGTGGTAAATAGCATCTATAGTGGGGAATCGTTGACAGTGTCTCTTCTGCCGCACAACAAGTACACACGAAGCTGCCGGCGAACACCAATTTCCGTCGAGACTGTTGTGGCCCACTGTATCAGCACTGACAAAGGAGAGGGGATGGCTACATGGATGAAGGAGGCACACCTGTGGAACGTTCCAGACGACAACGACAGCAACTGATGGGGCTCCGAGGTTGTGACGCGGAAGCCAACAACCATTTGGGTAGCGTTGAGACAAGAAGCCTCGCTTTCAGAGTTGTAGCTCAAGTCGACCAGCGCTTTGCAAGAGTTTGGAGACAAGTGTTGGATTGTCAGAGAGCAATGAACTTCGTGTTTTACTGTTGTAGCGATTTTCACGGATTGGGTTCAGTGGAAACGACCGAGTTGGTGCAGGAATACCGACGTCGGGAACACAGGTGTCGGTGACGCCGAAAGCCGGACGAAAGATACGGGAGGCGAAAAATTATTACCTGCCGAAGACGGAGTACCTACTATATATAGCTCCACGTAGTCGAACGTTTCTACTTGTGGGAAAAAGCTTAAGAAAGGGCTGGCTGCTGCGGCATATGTTTGGCACGAAATACCGCTTGCACAACTCCCGGCGCTACATTGTTACTTCTATATCTCCCATCTCGAGTCGTAACGTGTACATTGTGGTCGCACCCCAGCAGCATTGCGCTGGAAGGAGTATAACTGCCGGGGTGAAAGTATTTTCCTTTCACACCGCGTGGCAGGTATTATTGAGTATTTCTTGTGTAGTTACACTTCGCCAATCGGATTGCTGCACTACAATGGGGCGATCAGACCCAACCGGATTGTGTCACCACGAATTGGTTGATTGGCATGCAGGAAAAAAGAACAGCTTCACAGACAGGGCCCGTTCAAAAACGCTCGACACTCGGCACGGTTTGATTCCACCAGTCGCGACTAGTTTTTCTTCTTCTACCTCGCCGTTTTCCAGCTGCTCGTTGCGTTTAACTGCTGTAGCCGGACTCCAAGACATACGCATGACACGTGAGTCATTGAGGTCCCCTGTTGTAACGACATGTTACGAAGTTTTCGCAAAATTGGCGACGCAAATGATTGATACCTCCTGTTTAAGCGACATATAATGAAATTTATCGCTAAATAAACCGGCGACAAAACTAACAACGACCTCTGTGCCCTGAACTAGCGACTGCTTGCATAAGAACGATGGATGGATGCCGATATATTTGTACAACCTAGTTTTTGCCGAGGCTGGGGTTTTCGGCTGCTAGGGTAATGCCACGAATGGCTATGTATTTTTCGTAGTTTTGGGGTGATGCTTACTACATCCGAGCTGACAAATGGTGCACGCAAATCAACTTCGTACGTACATAGGTATAGATTCATTCACGGGTTTCCGAGGCTCAAAATATATTCACTGCCAAGCAAGTTTACGTTTACTCTGATTTCTTTTCATCACACAATTTCACGATAGACAGAATAGATGCCGCATCGCGTCCACCTCTCTCTATAGCTGATCGGGAGGTGGGCGTAGACGCGCAAAAGCGCCGCCGGAGGCGACGAACTTTCCGTGTGCGTGATTCAATGAGTGAACGAGCGAGTGAGTGGGAAACAAGATGTGTGAACATTACAACATATGCATACACTGCCATCTCATGATCGAAAAATTGTCGAAGCGGTGTTTGTTTGTATGCATGACGCAGTAGTAGTAGAGATTTGAAGGAACGTTGCTGTTTGTGAATAATAGGACTTTCGTTAGTACATTGCTTCAGCAGGCAGAGAGTCGTGGGTTGGCGTCAACCCTACAACCCAGATTTCCCTATTCGACGAAGTGGAGTATGGTTCGGGGTGGCGGTGATATTGTCTTCAAGCAGATGATCTGCGTACAATCTTCCACACTGTCAGTGTTACTACACCGCCCATGGGATACCCATGGATCACCCTTGGGTCACCCATGGGCACTTCATGGGACAGCCATGGATCACCACCCTGACGGGCCCATGAAGTGCCCACCGTGCAGAAGTGGTCACAGGCATACCAACCAACAAAAACTTCGTTTAGCCAGACCTGCACATCAACAACCTAGGAACTTAGCTACCAGCGCCAACCTATCACGCATCTTGTGGGCTTGGAGCTAGGGCTAGGGTTAGCGCAAGGGAAATTAGCCGTAATAATGCCCGTTCTACATAAAGCAGATAACCTAATATTGTTTAGGAGTACAATACACTGGTTCCGGTTAGAAGGGCTCTCATTGGCCGCCCATATGGGCTTCCCATGGGTTGCCATGGGGCCACCCATGGGCTGCCCACAGGCTGCCTATCTATGGGCATGCTCATGGGGACTGGTCAACCATGGGTCAACAGTGTGTCAACAGTGTGCCCACATGGGGGGCCCAGTGCTACCCATGGGCGACCCATGTGTGTTCCATTTGGGCGATTTATGTATTATATTATAGTAGAAAGAGAGCGGAAAGTGCGGGAGACCCAAAGCCCCTCCGCGATAGACACAACAATCCCACAGCAGTTGTTGTTGTTGTTGTTGTTGTCTTCACATTAAAAACCGTTCCGATCTCCCTCTACCCAGTACCTTCGTATGTGCGTACTGATCCAACACTCGACGCGGTCGATTCCCGTGGTCACAGGTTAACTTACCCTAAAAAGGTACACTCAAATAAACTGGCCCCGAGGGGTCCGCAAGTCAATAGAAATCAACGACAGATATTCTGGAATCCTCCACTCCCTCTGCGCGCTATGCGAGGTATCAACCGAGACTGGCAGTCACTATCTATCATGGGCCGGAGAGAAAGAAGTACAACCCCTTGGTTCAATCTTGGTACTTCACAGATGCAAGCAGAGACCAGGCCATCTGGCACAGAAAAAGAGAGAAAAAAAGAGAGAAAAAAAAGAAAAAAGAGAAAAAAGAGAAAAAACAGAAAAAACAGAAATGGAAACCGTAAGGAGAAGAGAAAATAAACTGAACATAAAATGAAAAAGGGCGAGGACAAAGAGGACCAGGCCGAAAATAACAAGAAGTATGAGGCAGAACAAGGCACACGGTGGAGAGACCACTAACGAACAAGCAAACACGCAAACATGGCCACCAACCAGCGATACATTGTAATGGTACGAAATCACTACTGGGGGGTTGGTGCAATGGTGCAGCGTTGGGGGGGGGGGGGGGGTACTTAGCGTTGGGGGGGGGGAATTGGCTAAAAGAAATTCAATCCGGCACGTATCGTGCCACTCGGTCCGTCTCTTCTCGTTTGCTTTCTTCCCTCGCCGTCTCGCCCGTCTCCTGCCCCCCTCCCGCCCCATTGGTTGTTGGCTTGTGGTTTCGTTTGAGCGCTCGTTGTCGGCTGGCCTCTTCTTCCTTCTCGTGCCAGGAGGTCATGAACCTCTCAGCTCCCTGCAGCACCGCCGCATGCCAGGATACTCCCCCCTCCACCTTCGCGGCTTCCGTCCACCTTAACTTCGGTGCCGTGTCTTTCCGTACGGGAATTCCGACACAACATGGGTCGGTTTTCGTAGATCCGTGGTCGGCCCCGAATGCCTTCAGGTCGTCGAGCACACACTTCGGCCAGTTCTGTTCCTGCCCCCCCCTACGTGTCTTCTCCCCCCCCGCCAGTTCGCCGAGCATCAGTCGTTTCGGGAGTCGCCCGTCCGGCTGCCTTGCCAGTGCTCCCGCGAACAGTAGGCGTCGTTGTCGGATCGTGGCTTCAACGCTCTGGCATTCGACCCTCTTCAGCGTCTGGGCGTACGAGCGCTGCCTGTAGGTGTCTTTCTTGCGCTTGTACCCGATAACTCGAAGGAGCAGTCGGTGGTGTGTCGACCGTCTGATAGTGGCCGCTGAGTGGTGATCATGTCATGCAGCCGTACAGCAGTGCCTCCATCGCCTCCGCCTGGAGGAGGCGGATCTTGAGTTGGAATGGCGCTTTCGGTCTGTGGAAGAGCTCCTGGCCATATCGCCTGAGGCACGCCCACGCTCCTCTGCTCCTGTAGCTGATCTCCCGGGTGAGGTCGCCATGTTCGTTGACGAGGCCACCGAGGTACCGGAACTCGGTCGTCTGGGCGTATTTCTGTCCCGCGGTTTCGATGGTCAGTGGTGGAGGCGGGGGGGGCTGTGATGTTGTAGTCGGCTTGTCCTTCGCGCGCATCAGGAGCGTCTCCGTCTTCTTCTCCGACACCGTTAGCCCGAACTCCCCGAACACCTCAACGATGATGGTCATCATTCTCGCCAGTCCTTCTGCAGACCTCGATACGACGCCGGCATCATCGGCATACAGCATCCCCCATACTGCCCTCCGTCCTCTGTCAAGGGGTGTCTCCTCCCCCCCTCCCGCTTCCGTCTTCCCCTCCTCCAAGCACACCATATTCCCCAAAACAACATCATCCTCGCTGAATCGGACAACGACGACCTCGAGGACCTCGGCGAAGAAGATGTTGAACAGCAGTGGGGATAGCACACATCCTTGTCGCACGCCCTGTGTGACGAAGAACCAGTCCGATAGTTCTCCGTCGTCCATGCGCACCCGGGCCCGCATTCCATCGTGGAATTGGCGGATGACTTTGATTAGCTTCGCGGGAATCCCGGCCCTGGCCAGCACCTTCCATAGCATCTCTCGGTCCACCGAATCATACGCCTTCTTCAAGTCGACGAAGCACATGTAGAGCGGTACTTTCTTTCTGCGCCCCAGCTCCTGGAGGCGGCGCACGACAAACAGCATGTCGACGGTGGATCGCCCGGGTCGAAATCCGCACTGTTCCTCCGGGAGGATGTTGTTGGCTTCGCAGAAGGCGCTTAGACGGTTGGTGATGATCTTGATGGGGACCTTGCCTACGTGAGATAGTAGCGAAATCCCCCTGTAGTTGTTACAGTTGGACCGGTCACCCTTCTTGTACAGCACCTTGATGGTTGCGTCCTTCCACTCTTCGGGGATATCTCCTCCGTTCCACACCTTGACGAGGATGGTATGGAGGTGTCTCAGGACAACGGGTTCGTCGTCATCGATCTTGAGCAACTCGGCAGGGAGGGAGTCGTGGCCGGGTGTCTTCCAGTTCTTGAGGCCTTTCGCTGCCCGTGCCATCTCCTCGAGGTCTGGCACCTCTCCCAACCGTTGAGTGTCACGTGTCGCTGGCCGCTGCGTCACTCGTTCGATGATGTCTGGGTTCAGGGTGGGGGATTTGGTGTTGAGTAGGGTGCTGAAGAATCTCACCCACCGTTGGAGGATGTCGTCCCTGTTCCGGAGCAACACGCCGTTCTCATCCGCGACGAACTGCTGTCCCCCCGCTTGTCTCCCGCTAAGGCCCACTGATCTCTTGAGGTGTTGGTACAGTCCTCTCATGTCGCGATCTTTGTAGATTGCTTCGAGTTCAGTCACATATCCGTCCAGGTGGGCATAAATGCCCGTTTCGACTGCTGTAGCCACTCCCTTACACGCTGCTTTGAGAGTTCTCCACGTTGCTGAGTTCCAGTTGCCCCTCATCGCCCGGCGCGCTTCCCGCCGTTTGGTAAGGGCCTTCTCCAGTGCTGCTCTCGTCTCTGGGGTCTCACACCACTCCTGCGTGCGGCGTCTCCGCGGTTCCTCCCCTAGGGTCGTCCGCGCTGCTTCGAGGAGAGCATTGGTAAAGTCGGTCGCCAATTCCGCGGCGGTGGTTGTTCGCTCGTCCAGTCGTGTGTGGAGGTTGAGGAGGAACCGATTAGTCACCGCACCCCGTGCTGCTTCGAACTGCAATTCCCGTCGGTTGAATTGCTGCTGTTTCGGTTCAGTCCGGACTGCACGGTTGTGGGCAAGCCTGCCACCGAGGTTGACGGTGGCTACTACCATGTTGTGGTCTGAGTCTGCTTTGACGGGGCGAACCGGCTGGGGGATGACAACCACGTTAGATACTCGGCCGTTATGTGCCTGCCTTGTCAGGATGTAGTCAAGGCGCTTGCAATCGTTTCCCGACACACCGTTGTATGTGTGCCATATTCCGCCCTTGCGTGTCTCGAAGAACGTGTTCGTGAGAGCTAGCCTGTTTTCCGTTGCGAAATTCAACAGTAGCATGCCATTGTCGTTGAGCTCATCACGCCCGTACATTCCTATTACCCTTCCGTCCCCTCCGTCCAACCTATCTCCCGTCCGCGCGATGGCATCCAATAGGACATACACGCATTCTTTGGAAGGGATCCTCCGCACGAGACTGTCAAGTTTTCCCCAGAACACGCACTTGCTGTCGGCGGTTGAAGGTTCGGTTGGAGCATACGCGGCTACGAAGTTGACCGCTCCACGGTGGCCTGCCAACAGAAACCTCATGGCCATAAGGCGTTCGTCGATAAACTCGGTAGTGAACGCGGATGTCTTGCACAGTGACTCTTTGACGGCTATCCCCACACCATGGACTCCACCAGTCTCCGTGCCACAGCAGAACACCCGGAAACCCGCTGCTGCAAATTCCGTTCGACCTGCCCTCCGTGTCTCCTGCATTCCTACCACCGATACGTTTTGTCTCGCTGCCTCGTGTAGAATGCTGTAGGCTCGCCCGTATCCATTGGCCCCGTTTACAGCCAGAGTCCGCACATTCCAGGTTGCTACCCTAAGAAGTTGACCCTGCTGTCTCTCTCGCGCGGTGCGCGCTGCTCTCTTAGCTAGCCTACGCGCCGCCCGACCAGCAGTATTTACATGTGGAACAGTGGAGCTATAGAACAGGAGACGCCTCGATGACATGCATGACATTATCGCGAGACAAACTCTCAGGATATCGCGATACAACATTGGTACAGCAGAATCCATAGTATCATCCGCCCGCACTCTGGCAAGCCACCAGTCAACGCTGCGGAGCCAGGGGGGCAGCAAGGAGATCCATACCGCCCTGTCCGCATCCATCACAAACGCGTCTTGAGGTCTTGACGTCTTGACTCGTCCCATCATTTTTTTTCTTGTGTGTTTTTTTTCTTCGCTTTATTGTTCTTCCGACTCCCACATGTACAAGATGGCAGGTCTCCCTGGTGACGCATTCATCAGTTCACCCAATCCACCTTGCTCTGTCCCTCAACGGAAGATATCCGAGCGAACACTGCAAGACCACGCGTGGAGTACACTGCTGTATTGTAGTACGGTCTGCACGGGTCCATGGCGAGTATCTTCATTTCGTGCGTGGTATTGGCCACTGCGGTGTTTTGCGGACGCTCGGCAGCGGAGGAGGTGGCCCCTGGACCTGCGGTGTCCAGACGGCTTCCGGCGATTACACCCAAGGCAACATGTGCCGACTGGATGAAGTGGATACCTCCTCGCTCGGATCCCGCTATCGTGATGCAAGTGCGTAATCCCTAAGTTAGTTAGTTAGTACCGGCCGCCAACAGGCAAACCGTACCAATACATCGGCCTTGATTGACTTGAGCGCCACCACGAACAAGCGCAGTTGTGCACCCAGCAGCAGGTTAGTGTTCTCACATCTGTACCAGGTTTCGGCACGCGGACCATCTCAACCTCAATGACATGCAGCCCATATGCGGATGTATCAGGCGAAATACTACACAGGGAACCAACGCCGTATGTACCGGAATGCCTGTTTGTTACTGCCTTGTTGTCTCATCCAAGCCTTCTCCGATAAAATCTGACAGGACTGGCACTGCAGCCACCAAGTTGTTCGTGATTTCGTGATTTCCACAGTTTTTTTACGTCCGTCGGCGCTGTGCCGAGCAAATGTTGTTTTGGTGTACATTCGGTTCCCAATTTTCATTTTTTTTCGAGACTTGAGAAAAAGACCCGTTATTGCTGTTTGTGTGTGAGCTGTGAGCTCACGAAGATTCGACTCGTTGGAACGTTACGTTGGCAGCAATAAAGTGAGCCACCGAGACAACAACTTGGAAAACAAGAGACATCCCGTCTCCTGTGATAGGATTTGGACACGGCGGAGCTCTCCCTTCCCCATTGACTTGTTTGACTACCTAATTACAGCGACAGTTCGACTATACTGCTCCTGTGGGTTTGATTGTAAGCTGGTTGGATGACGGTGAAAGTCAAGGAGCGGGTCCACGAATGCCGAGCGCAATAGTTGTACCCAACCTTCCCCGATTTGTTTCGGCGGGTGGTATGTAGTGATGGTGATTGCCACAGGGGAAAACAGGGTCTCGCATTCAGGCATGCACGTAATATATGTGTCAACTGCTGTACAGCCAGTTCATGTGGTGTAGTCATCATGTACTCACACATACCGTCGCGGTGCTTATATTTACCCGTACCGCGTCTGTCTTTGTCATTGAACGCTTGTAGCATACTTTTAGTTCATATTCCCTTCATATACTCGACTTTAGTTTACAGAAACGAATCGTTTGAATGCCCAGACGGGTATGTATGCGTGTGACCGTATGAATGACCAGACACGTATGTATGCATATGATCGTATCATGTGCTCGGTCTGCTTAGACTTTGTGTCTACGACGTGGAGTCTACAACTTGGCGTCATGTACATCTGCATGTGTGTGATGTGACCGTCGGACGTCATCTATCTTACTGGATTTTTCCTTACCGGCCCTCCCGCTTTGCCTTCCTTTTATGCGCCTGCCACCAAACTGCTATCTCTCGCTTGCACCGTTTCAGGTTGTGAGCAGGCACTACTTGGAATTGGAGCGAAATTTTATTCGGCTGATGGAGCTCAACTCGGCCTTGACCCGCGACCACCTATACCTCATGTGCATGGACAACGTGTCGGTGCACTTCTTCGAATCTTCCATGAACATCCGCTGCATCCCTCTTACCGCGTTCGACTTCCCGTCCCATGCGGAGATCTGGGTTTTGAGGGCCCGTGTGGTGTCTTGCCTGGTGAGCAGGGTGTATCGTTGGTCTGTGGGCGCAGATATCCCGCGGGTCACAATTTTCAACATCAAGATTTGACCCATCAAGCGCGCGTCTAATCCTATTTCCATTCATCTATGCAGGCATATTTATTGGAATTGCGGTTCCACGCGCATGGTACTAGTGCTGTAGGTCTGCGATGATTTTCTGCCCGCCTGAATGCGGGAGATATGGATATCCACTGGGTCGATCTCCTGCTTAAGGTCGTGCTAGATTTTCACCGTCTCATATTTCCTGCGAGACCAGGTACATGCAGTACAGCAGTAGTGTAGTCTGTATTTCGTGCAGGTTACACAGACACTTGATACCTGGATCTGGGAGATCGTCCCGCCATTCCTTCCATAGATAGGCTGGAGGTGGTGCATCACGCAACACCTTTCGACGACCTGTACCTCTGGCCACCCGTGACGACATGTCCATGGGACTTGGCCGCGAAGATTGCATTACTTATGCGCATCCTGATTGCAGCATACACCTTCCTCTGCCCACCCTGCAGGTGGAAGCGGGCCAAGATGTGATAATGTCCGATGCAGATGCTCTGTGGCTGGACGACCCGTTCAAGGATTTCAACCTTCCTCGCGTAATCGACAGCAGCGTCGTCGCGTCTAGGGGGAAATTCCCCAAGCCGCTTGGTCTAGAATGGGGGGCGACGATGTGCATGGGTTTTGTTCTTTTTCGAGCGACCGGGAGAGGGGTTGTGGGAGAGTTCCTCGAAGTCATGGATGCCCTGGTTCACAAGAACAAGGACGACCAGGTCTCGGTGAGTGCGTGAAAAAATGCAGGTGTGAACATGAAGCATATGTCTGTATCTGTGGAACGTCATCCCCCAACTGCAACTGTTATCACATCCAGCTGTGCCGTGATGGTGATGTGATTAATTAACCCTTTGCCGACTGCACTCAAATTCAGGTTAATCTGGCGGCCGAGACCCTGGGGATAGTGTGGGATCAGGAGAGCGACATGCGCTACGTAGAGAGTGACTCTTTCGGCTTCGGGACCATTGACACTCTTGTCGACGAAAACAATCAGCCATTCTCGGTGACGTTACTGCCTCACAACGCGTACACCCGCGTCTGCGACGAGACACCAATTTCCAACAAAACTGTCGTGGCGCATTGTTGGGCACCCAAGACAGCCGACAGCAAGACTGGTTGGATGGTGCAATCTAAGCTCTGGTTCAGTGACAATGAAACACGCTGAGATGAGGGCAGCGGAGAGACGTGCCGAAGGCAAAGGGTGGGTGTCTGTCACCAGCATCCGCTCTGTAATCCATGGGGAAAGAGCTCCGCCCAGTCGTCGAGAATCGAGAGCCCATGACGTTTGCTACAGAGTAGGCGATTGGCTGCATCTATCTGCAGCCCGTGCTGCTACGCTTAGCTTTACATGGATCATGAATGATGGGAGTTTGTAGCAGACGTACCACCTTTCAATATCCGAGGCCCGTGGGAGTTCGGTGGTCTACTACGGTAGACGGTTCGGCACAGCTGGAATTCTTTGAGCGAGGCGCATGTACGGCATACACACGCCGATCGTAACGACTGCTTCGTCGTCATAGTACAGAAAGCGTCTAAATGATGACAAGTAAATCGGCAAGAAAGCGGCTTGCTTGCTTCGTAACGTCCTTCTGGTAGACAACGGAATATATCATTTGTTTGTGTTAGACTGTGAAGTTTGGAGTCGGACGAATGAAATTGATTTTTTTGTGAAATGGTAATGAAAGTATCACTGGGGGAAACTCTCGTTTGGCATGCCTCCCGGCCATCCAAGAACGCGTGGTGGGTGTAAGAATATTTGGGACGGTGCAGTCCCTTTCGTGCAGTTTTGTGGAGTGGTATCGCATCATCGGACGTTTCCCGATTCCTCACCGCGGTTCTTGTGTCGTAGCGGAGGCATGAGCGAGTGGAGTACCGTAGAGTTCGCAGAGCATAGGCGACATGCTGACCAAGCACTGTGCTCAGTTCACGAAACAACGTGCAAAATTTCTCCCGCACGAAGTAGCCCTTTTGTCGGGGTGGGGGTGGATGTTCCCACATCCAACAAACACACCGGCGAAGATCGCGATGGAGAGCTTGATTTTACGTTTTCGCCCTTTGTTGCTTGTCTTTCGTGGAGTGTTTGTCTGGTTTCCAGGCGGTCGTGTCGTTTTTTTCGGATTCGAACTTCTCACGGTTTCGGACGAGTAATGTCGTAAAGCTGCAGTGGGAGTATTTTTCCGATTTGGCCATGTTTACAGTTGATGATATTCGAAAGAAGCCTATCTGGGAGACGAAGTGGGCTATTGTCTGTACGGTGATATCACGAGTAACATATTTTCCTTATTCGAGTGCGGCGAATTTCTTCTTGTCCATCCTGTGAGGGGCATTATTGTTGGTCGTACTTGGTTTTTTGCTTTTGGTGAAAAGTGAGATGTTCTTGAGTTGGAGATTCTCGTCACGAACGGCCCAATCTCCCCAACGTCCGTCGAGGACCGATTCACTCTTGTTGCATTCAGGGACGAAGAGAACCTGGTTTGGGTGGAACCCAAAACGGGGTTCAACCTTCCACAAAATGAAACATGCGGTGCGTATGACCAATAACAGACGGTCGAACTGCTAACGACCACGTGCCGGCCGTTTCATACTCACCAGTGCAATGACGCACAGACGATTGCAAAGAACTGTCGAAATGGCCTATTACGGAATTATTGTGCAGTATTCGCGGTAGGTATTTTGGCCAGCTCTATCCCGAGTCTGTGCGCCAGTGATGGAGATCGCGTATCGAATTGCCACATTCGATACCGATTTATCGGCGATACTCAATATCGAAATCGCTGAATTATATTGCCGATATGTCGATACCGTATCGAGATCGAATATCGAATATCGACGATACCGATACCGATATTTTCAGAAACGGGGCCCCCAAACTAGCACATACCTAGCTTTAGTTGATAGCACGGGGCCCCCCTATTATGTGCCCAGCTTGCGAGGTGCACTTCACACATCACACACCACACCCTCTGTCCTCTGCGCACCACGCCCGGTCCCGCATACCACACAAACCAGGACATGAGCCCTTCAACTTTCGGATTGGATGCAGGCGGATATGATTTTGCACCACTGTAGTGCAGTTGTAGTGTGTAACATGTAACGTAGCTCTGACTTGTTTTTTGTCCTTCATTCTTCTTGGCGTTTTTTTCTGCATGTCGTGCTACCTGGGTCAGTCAGTCAGTGCAGGTATAAGACTACATGCTTCCAGTCTGAGGGTCCTCGTCCATTTGTTAGACAGGAAAATGAATACTCACTTATTGTTTCGTTTGACGGAAAGATCAATTCCATTTATTTTTCTACTGATGATGATACTTCCACACACAAAAACGCGTCGCCGAATACACTACTACCTCTCAGCAGTGTGTCATCGTACGTATCGTCGTGCCTGCAGGTGCATTGACTATAGACCATGATCAATCAATCATGATGTGCAAAGAAAGACAGGAAGACACGGGTCATTTTGTTGTAGCCGCTCGAGTTTCTCTGGGCAATATCGATATCGAAATATCGATAATCGGAGTATCGGTCACTTTCGTGAGTATCGGGAAAAAATCGACTATCGGAATTTTGTGTCGAGATTTTGAAATATCGTATCGGCACCCATGTCGCCGGCGATCTCCATCACTGCTGTGCGCCCTTGGATCCGGCGGGACACGTTCGTTTCCGAGGGCGTACATCAGAGGGGGTAAGTGCAAGTCCGCGTGCCCCGAAATCTTATGCTCAGAGCAACGTGGAGGACTCGCGACGATGGTGGTGCAAAAATAATATCGAACAGGGGAGGCAGCAGAGCAATAGTGGCACCGCTCGCTGCCGTCATGCACAGCGAAATATTGTCTACCGCCATCTGTGGCGTTCACTGCTCGATATCTGTTCTTCAAGAGACTCGTCTGGCATGCTTGCACACAAGTGAAAGATGTATCGCTATCTGGACAATCCTGTTGACTGGACGGCACTGAAACGCACCAGTATTTTTGTTCTCTGCCTTGCTGCTGGGTGCTTTATTATGTGCGTTTGGGCCATGAATTTTCTGCGGTGCACACACAAACTATTGGTTTGGCGTCCTCAAAAATGGTACTTGATGTGTTGGTTATACTAATGTATTTGTACAGGGTGTGAACGGTTTGTAAGATTGACGGCAACATTATGGAAGCAACATACGCGCGATTCCGTTCTCAGAGAATCAACAGAGTGGGTGCCGCCCATACATTCAAGATGCCTTGCTGCAACGCTTAGTGCTTGGAGAGACTTTGCACCAGTTGCAACAACAGGGGCAGGGGAAGAGCGGAGGCAGCGCCACAACCGCGTGGCAATCCGTGTGAAAAACATCACGCTTCAAACTCACTCGATACTTACCAATCCCGTTTAAAATAAAATCGGCTTGAACAGGCATGGCGTAAGGAGAATTGCGTAAGGAGAATATCTGTGCCGTCCCTTGTCGTCCCAAACTCAGTTGGCTTACATGTCTCGTACTGAATCCGATCCGGTCTGATACAATTCCGTGTCCCCATACACGGTTATGTATCATTTCGATGTTTTTCGTGTTTCGGCACAACTGGCTATTTCGGCAGAATGCTTTCTCAGGGTTTCTTATCAGGTGCACAGAGGAGGTTCGTCGGCGCAATATTGCGCGTGGTCTGGGACCGCCACGCATCCGTGGCACGTGCAATCCGCGCCAAAAGAAGCCCCGACTGGCAATATTCCGCGGGGAGGCACTCCGAACGAAAAGTCTTCGCAAGGAATACAACACAATTTTTCCATTAAGTACCAAGAATAGATTATGCGCAACCCATACACGTTACCACAGACCACGAGAAACACGGTACTCATACAAAGGAGCGACCTATGAAATGCACCGGGTTACAGCAGAAGTATCTGCGGCGAAGGGGCCGCTGGCTTAAACGCACACACTCGCGCAGACGAGAACGGTTCACGACGCAATTAAAAAAAACGTTGTTGACATCTCGCACTGACGCACTTTCTGCAGGTTGTACGGAAACCGGCACTGCCGAACGTTGACATCCACCGATGCAACCGTGATAGCATTGGCCATGCCCTCATGCGTCACCCGCAGGAAGCAAGCCACCAGACTCCCGAAGGGGAGCCCTGTGTAGATCCTCACGGTTTCTCAAACGGCTCGTAGAGTCTACACTCCCGCGGAGTGATCGGCGCAAATCTTTCCAGGGTTTCTTTCGCCCATGTCTCGTCGTTGCACCTGGGAACCAAAAGGGAAACATGGGGCAGGGAGGCAGGGAGTGTCTCGAATCGTGAGCATCGAATCATACACCGGTCAGGTGTCCAAGCCTAATTCACTCCAACCAAATCCCAACGGCACAGTCAAGTTGTGGGAAAAGATTGCCGTGGACAGCCTGAACAACAGCTTCGCGGAGCCATGGTGCCATATATAAGAGGACAAAATATCTCAAGGAAAACGACCAAAACGATCACGTTTTCGCCCCGACCCTACCAAAGCTATGTACACACCCCGAACAAACATCCAGACCTACCTGTGATCTAGCGGCTCGTAGGTGGCCAGCTGTGCTGCCACCAAGGGGTGGTGCAGCAACCCAGCTTCCCTCAGCCGTTCGCAGAACTTGGCCGAAACAAACTCGTGAAGAGCTTCGTCGACCGCGTTGGCGCTGCTGGCCGCCTCCCTCAGCTCGGGTGTGATGTGCTTTATCCCTTCTTCGTGCTTCGCGCCGGTGTTTTGGCGCGAGCGACCCGAGGCAGCGGGAGCTTCGGGCGGCGCGGGTGCATCTGCGTCTCCAATCGACGGCACTAAAAAATCCCACCGGGGAGGGAGATAGGGGGGAGAGAGGGAGGGAGAGAGCAGCCAAAATAAAAAGGGACAGCAATTGTGGGATTCGTATGTGAGAATATGGAAAAAACACAAACAACTGCTCTTAAGAACATGCCCCGGATTGAATGTGTTCTCCTCATTATATATGGCCACGCGGGGCGCATTCACAGGGACCTCCGACGTTCAGCTGCAGGATATATACCTACTTCTGTCCTTTTCAGAACTCCGAGGGATGACGCAAAAACATCATTTGCATGAAAATGACACCTCGTGGCGTTCTCGATGGTGAAGAGGGCCGAAGAAAAAAACGAAAAAAAATATCGACGGGGAGGCGGTGGTCTCTTCGTTTTCGATGGTCCTTTCCCCGATACACACACAATACACTCAATTTGTGGTAGGCCTCTCGCTGAAACTCATGACGTCGGCTCCTCAACAACCCTTCCGAGAAAATGTACATGAGTGCCGACGTCGCTCGATCTTTTTTTTGTGAGTCCAGCGATACTATTCACGACTCCGTCGTTATGCACCGGCACGCCTGCCACAACACGACAGACTCGTGTGGTTGTCAGCAACATTACAGTGGAGGCGGGGTTGCATTGAAGCCAACGGAATGAATAAAAAGTACAAAAACGACGGCGACCGATGCGGGAACAACATCCTCCACGATAGCCAAAGAAACTCTACTTTATGGCATCAACAAACTCCGCACAAATCACACCCACGTTGACGGTGCTGGCGCTTCGGAGCGGGGAAGAAATCTGCAGTCGGGCCCAGCCACGGCAAAGTCTCGAACAATAGAAGGACGGACGAATCCCACGTCTCACTATAAATAACGAAAAATCGAGCGAAGGCAAAGACGGCGGGCGGGGCCAGGAACACGATGAGTGTGGGGGGGTATCTTTCGACGGGCACTCGTTTTCCCCTGACATGTCACCGAGGAGTTCGGCCGCAGGACACCTTGCCGTTTACGGGATGCCGAGTTCCACAATATGGCTGCTGTTGGCCGAGGTCTACGTGACAAACACCGGTATATAAGGTATCAGTCCTTGACGGGGTGCAAGACACCAACCACTAAATCACGTCAGGCTGTAAGATTTGACAGCAGTTCCATGGGGTGGGAGGTCAAACATATCGTGAACAAGAGCGGCCGGTTTGGTAGCGCCACTCCCAGACAATAACTCCTACCCGTCCTTGTCGTACGCAGCACCACAGCATCCAAAGACGCGGTTTCTTACTCACCACATGGTGACGAAGTTCAAGTTGCACGCGCCCCTTATCACGGACTCCAGGTCTTCCACGCACACCCCCTCCCCGCCTTCATCCTGATCCTTGTCCATGCAGAGCCTGATGCCGCCTTTGTAGGCGTCGTGGCCCGACACCATTCTCGCCGCGATGTTCTGGAACTTCCGAGTGGTTATCATTTTCTGAAAACAGGCCTCGTAGTCCTGCGTGTGGTTCGAGCGGAGTCGTGGGAAGGCGACGGTGTTGAAGTCATTGGTTTCTTGGCGTGGCTGGAATCAATTGGCGTAAAACTGGCGCCTAGAGCAAGGACTGGATCCCCCGCAACCTACTCGACGAACAATACCAAGCTTGTCAGGCCCTAGGCCAAGGTCAGGCACGACGTACTGCAGGATTTATTTTTTTCGTGCCAAATGAGTAAATGTTTTCTTGTTATAGGCCTAGGCAGTCCTCCTGCTGCCGTGGCCTCAGCGCGTGACAAAGCTCTACAGTTTTAATGCAATGGCCAAGCAGGAGCCAACACACAAATCGGCAGCAACACAGGAGAGGTCGGTATGAGGTGAGTGCGAGATGATCGTTGACTTCGCCTCGACGTTTTTGCGAGCAATGAACAGCCGCCTGCCTTTCGAATAATGTGTACATTGTTGGGTACATCCCCCAAACTCGATCTGAAAAGGGCGTATCATTTGCTTTAGGGTTATATCAGAGGAAACTTCGAGTGTTCTAAACTATTCTCAGAAAAACGCGGACTTCACCCAAAACACCAATGTGCCGCACAATTCGAGTTACATCGATAACATCGGTCAGAACGCAAGCAATCATCAGCCCTCGCACAAGCACGGCCTTTGGAGCAACTCGTTGGTGATAAACTTGCAGGGTTGAGGGGTGTGCCAGGGTTTTCTGCCCCGAAGTTATTCCAAGCATCCATCTCTAAATTTGCATTTATCTGCCTGCCTCGCCAACTCATGTGTGGTGGCTAACAAACCGCTGAGGGACCAAGTCAGGGTCACGGGCAAAAGGCGAGACAACACAGCAGGCCCGGTTCCAGGTCCAATCTCTCACCACGTCGTCCTTCCATGCGCACGGAGGAGAGTGCGGATCAGTGTAGAAGAACCCCGAGACCATCCGGTCCACCACACCGCGGATGTTGGTCATCGAAAACACGCCAGGGTCCTCCAGCATCGCGGTCGTCGTCGGGTCCATCCTGTGGCTGGTGCACCCCGTCACCTGTGCAGTTTTGGGTGCAGTGACCAGCAAAGTCAGGCGGTGAGTTGGGTTGTTTACTCGACCTGGCGAGTAACGAAAAAAAAAACTCGTGAGGAACGGTGGTTCGCTCTGACAGGGATCGGGAAACGGAGGGGGAAAAGGTGTCAACAGGCGTTTGTCGCGCAGGGACGCGAGGCCGAAACCATGGTTTGCCGAAAGGTCGAGACAGCTAGTTCGAACTTCTGCCAGGCGATTTCCCAGCCCAAGCAAAGCCCACGCAGTCCACAATATATGCACACATGTAAAGAGAAAGGTCGTCTTGCAAGAGTTGGGTTAGGGAGGAAAGTTTGAAATAGGCACACACTCGACGGTTGCATCAACACATCACCATGGGGCACATGAGGCCTTCCAGCGGGCAACTCCCGGGAGGGTCTCCGGGGAACCGGCAGCAAGGGCCTCGAGGCACGCATCCGCCGAGCCGCCGTGCGATGACGCTGGCCTCGCTGCTGCCGGCCTTCGGCACCCTGATGAGCTTCGCAGAATAACACGCGGACATTTGCAGGAGCGACGACCAGCACGCAGTTGTCGTTGTGATCGCACAGGATTGTGAGGGATGGCATGGAGGGGGGCACGAGCAGCATATTTATGGTGATAAAACTCCAGCTTGCGTCTCACGTTCAAAAGCGGCGAGCGGGGGGCGTGTGACAGAAGAAACGCAGGGGTCAGTGATGCTGCCTTGCCTTGGCATCGAACAGGTCAACCGGTTTCCCGAAAGAGCACGTGGATGATGCAACCTGTTCGACAGAGCTTCATCTAAGGGTCGAACACAGAGTACTCCATCCCCCGATGTTGATACTAGCACTCCTCTCTCGAGACGGTGTGGTGCGTGGTTCTCAAGCTCTAACCCGAGCTCCACTCAAGGCGGCAAGAGTCGTATGCCTTGCGTATGACGCACTCTGTCACAATGATATATTTAGTGTTAAGGGGAGTCGTTGCAGTGGACAGTCGCAGTGAGGGGATAACGAAAGTTGGTGCTTGCGTAGCTCTTGTCATCCACCGCAATTCGAAACCTGTAGTCTGGGCACACGTCACCGACCACGGTGGCGTCTTCCACAGCATCAGCATCCTCGGCAACCCCGAACGGCCTCCATCTGGAATGAACAGTAACGCTGTGCGCCGCCGCACAAGGTAGTCGGAACCACCGACCTGTCGCTGTACCTCTCCTTCCACGAGAGAGATGCGCCGCGGGTTTTCTGCTGCCCGCACCGCGAAACAACGTATATCCACCCATTCTGGTCGACGGACGGGGTCGACAACTTCCATCCCAACCCGATGTACAACGATACCCTGGATGTGTCCATGCGCTCTAGAGGTGCCGACGTTCGACTCCTTTCACTTGTTCACCACCGCTAAGACAATCGTCCTACTCCACATGAAGCCTGGACGGAACAGACCCTGCCCACCTGCAAGCCATCGAAGGCGAAGGCGTTCTCCTCGAAGGTGGCCGGCCTGCCGTTCCGGGCCTCAAAGCGCTCACGGGCGAGCTCGAGAAACGTAGAAGCCGTAGATTCTGTTCTCCGAAAGCGAACCGGCGCGGGCACGAGGACGCGGTAAAGGCAAGCAAGTCGAGACAATTGAGACGAACATGCACATTTCCGAGCGATAAGACCTGTGGTTGAAAGAGGGGGGCCGACACGACCGTCGACACCCCGAAGTGCGAAGTGTTGGGAAATCATAGTCACGTTTCTCGTTTTCAAGCTGTGGTAGCAGAGAATAGGAGCGATCGCTTAAGTGAACACCCGTTGCACGGGCCGCTCATCTGGTTGAACGCGGTGCACGCCAAGCGGTCCAACAGAGGTACCCAAGGAAAAAGAAACCGCATGCTGTCGTACAACCAAGAATCTGGCGTTCGTTATGTAAAACGGAAGAATAACAAAGGCTCCGCTTTATATACATTGTTAATATATCCCCTCGATCATACTCGTTCAATATATAGATGAACTTGGTGTGAGTTCGTACGATAACAAACCTACATTGTATACATATCATCGTAGAGTAGATACGAAGTTGGCGTGATCATATTTCGCCCTGGTGGCTCGGATATCTTGGTCGGGACTGAGACAAAATGCTTTCAAAGACGTGCTCATTCTGCTGTCTCGCTGGTCCTGCCTGTAAAAGATAAACAGAATTACCTTGTTCGCCAGCGTCAAACGCATGCGACGCCGCCAACACCAGCAGTCCGGGGAAACAACACCACCGCATGCCGTTCGCTGTGAAGCCAGCAGATCTGTGTATGCCGGCGTACAACGGCGATCGTCGAACGCAGCAGCACGGGCGAAATGGGCACGGTTGACGGCGACTTCTCACTCAGAGATGAGCTTCAATTATTCAGTTCTACAATATACAGGTTTGCTGTGAAAAAAAAAGCGCGTCAGGAGCATGCGTGGAGGACACAATCAAGCATAGACCGGACCTTTGCCAACACACGGACGTCACGGGTCGTCATCGTTCTAGCCGTCTAGCCGGTGTTACGAACTTTGAGCAGATGTTGAAGTCAACGGGCCCGGGTGCGGAGGTGCTGCGTGGTTAGCGATGTGTGGCGCCGTCGCTGCTTGTTGTGCGCAGTAAAGAAGGAGGTGATTGAGTTTCTATACTCAAACGTGTTTGGCTATGTACACATGTAAACGTGTGCATTTTGATTGTTGACGGTGGCTCGTTTTTGGTGTTCCATGTGCACATGGATGTGTCGATCAAACAAACAAGGCGCTGATGCAGTACATCACGTGATATGCGTTTGTCCTCCAATGAACATCTTCATCTGAATACGGCAGCGTAGGCATTCGCTCTTACGGGGTCGGAGACAAGAGAACTTTGACGCTGGCTCTATTCTCATAAATTCTTTAATCTAAAATATGAGAGAAATTAAACTCCCCGCCGGAGGAACCTGGCACTGAGTACTAACATCGGTAGAGGAAACCATCCAGAGGCGTCGTGCGTGCTGGAACGCTTAGCTTTGGTACTGGATCTAAAAATATCGAAGGTCGCAGCAGTCTCTGAAAAACAGTCCGAAACCTGCGCCGGAAACAAGCGGAATCCAACACTTGAGAGGACAACGCACCCAACCAACACGAAAAGCCTACATTTATAGGGACTCCTGACATGCCTTGGTATCAGGGTTTGAATAATATGAATGAACGACGAACGTGTGCAGCATTCTTCAACCTCTTAGTTTTTCTTTTTCGTTGGGCGAAAAAAACGAATCGCACCTTGGAGGACATTTCTCAATCTCCCACACTACGGACAGCTCTGCCTCACCGCCCATCGGACAATTATGGGTCACTCATGGGCCGCCCATGGGCAGGTCATGGTCCGCCCATGGGCGATCCCATGGGCGGCACATGTACTGCCCACGAAGTGCCTACGGTGGGCACTTCAACCTAGAACTCGCCACCGGCATATCAACCTAGACCTTAGCCATCGGCACATCAACCTACACAGTAGAACTTAGCCACCCAGCGTCAACCTACAGTAGCACGTATCGTGTGGGCTTGGAGATAGGGTTATAGGGTTATTAGCCGTAATAATGTCCGTTCCAGAGGAGATGACCTAGTCTACAGCTTCGGAGTGCAACACTGGTTCCGGTTGAAGGGCACTCAATTAGCCGCCCTTGGGCTACCCGGGGTGTCCCATGGGCGGTTCAGGAAAACTGTAGAACGTGTGGGAGGCCCCCCTCTCTGGGGTCTTGTCATGTTTATTATACTTTTTGAATGTTGTAGTCTAGCCCCCTTTGGGAGCAGTTGGTTTGTGACCACGGCACGGAAGGCGTCCGCGTTAGTTGGACTAGTACGGGCACTAGAAGGTACTGAGCGGAGACCGGAACGGTTTTTACTGTGAAGACAACACAAACAACCCTTTTTGTTGTGCTCACCGCATCGCCTTCCTGTGCAGACAACTCCAAGTCATACACACCAGCGGAGAACATGGGATACATTTTGGTCACGCGCCTGTTGCTGCTGCTGCTGCTGCTGTGGTAAGACTTTCTTTCATCCCAATACGCGTCGATTCCCGAACCGATCACAGGCCGTCGTAGAGGTCACTGAACATCCGTTACACAAATTTGGAATTGACCAATCGTCGTGCATTGCTCATTCTGATACGGAGGCTTTTTACCGTTACATGATTCGTGCGCGCATTACTGTAGTTGCACCGCATTCAGAGCCCAATTCTCACCCTCACACTAGCTCACACCTCACGTCTCGGACTCTCCTCTCCACAGCAAAGAGATTCGATCTGCAACATAAAGCACAGCAAAAGCCAACTGCAACGCGCTGTGGCGTCTTCAACTTCGCGCGTTGAACAAAAGCTTAACCGCGCAAGAGTGGTAGGGCAAGCGCTCGTCATCATCGTTGAGAACGGGCAGAGCGTCAAAGTCTTTATCTTTCTGAAGCTAGAACTCCAAGGGAGTGTCATGCCTCGCGGTGATCAACGGTGGAAGATCCGCCGTCTCTCCCTCTACTCTGTTTATCGCGCGAGCCTTCGCAATGTTGTTGATCACCGCCAGAGGGCCCGGTCCAAGCCTTTCCTTTCTTGCCGACGGTGTGTCCAGTGTCCAGCGTGATAATTGATGATGCGGCGTACTTTTTTTTTTAACCGTTTTGTTTTTTTATGACGGAACCGACGGACCTACACAAAGATCCATTTTTTACCACTCGATCTAAGGAACGAAAAAAAAAAATCTGCCAGCCTCACAAGCATCGCGCATCACGCCGAACCAACACAAAAATTTCTATTCTGATTTGTTTGTCACAGCCGTGCTCACCACCAAAGACCTGAACGGGGTTGTCTGGAAGTAGCTATCTACAACAGTAGATTGGGACCAGGGGCAGCGAAGACAAGCAGTACAAGACACTAGATGTCGGCCAATTTGCGTAGATTTGCGTAGATCACAGGCCACTACTTACTGCGACCCGGTATCACCACCAAAGAAGCAGATTTGAGTACCCCAACACCTTCCCATCCCCCCCCTGCAATAGGGTGTCCTCTACGGTAGTGATATCAGCTTGAGGTACAGATACTTCGCACAACACCGACCTTGGTTTGAGCGCCTGCCGTTTTGGATACTTTGACTTGAACTAGGGCGGTGTAAGTTGATATCTTGATTTCAACGGAGGAGGCGTGTGGAGGTATTGTATGCAGACGCGTGAAATGTATGTTGTGAGCAGCCTCTACGGCCGCCGCCCTGTTTGCGAGGATCAACTGTTTCTGTTTTTCGCGATACCTTCCGACGGGTCTTGTGTGTCTGTTGCGAATTTTCTGGTCTTAATGCGTTGGTTTTCCCATACAATAAGTGTCCTTACCGGAGGGAAGTGTGCTAACTAAAGATTCATGGGTCGATAACTCGTCATCCCCGTTGTCAATGGAGGCGTGCGATACCTCAACCGATGCCCCTTTCTCAAGGGAGTAGGAACATGCACGGACAGCATGGACAAGGCGGCGAGAAACCTGGGGTTTCGCCAAATCCTGGGATTTCGCCAAATGTGTTGTTCAATAATGTATTCGAATTATTAAGTTGCTTGCTTGCAAAAATGTTTGTCGACACCACTGTGCTTCCCGCACAAACCAACCTACACGACAAATAGTCGGCCGAGGCAGAGATTGACCCAAAACACGGTGATACCGCTCATACATACTACCGCTGTTGAAGCAGGAAGCCATTATTTCTTCGTCCACACATCGCGAAGAGTTGTCTTCACCTTCCCCCCGTCCTTCGTTCTACGCTTTGCCTGCCAGCTGAGTTTCGTGTGAGTGAACTAATGGACTGCTCTCGAAAGCAGGAGGAACTAAATATAATAATGAACTCTTCCCGTTCGCGAAAAAAAAAAAGAGCGGAGTTCCTCAAAACGGGAACGAACCTCGGCCTCGGTGAGCGACGATGTGATGCACGACTGACTCTGGCCTACTGCCGGCACCGTCTTCGTCTTTGTTCGACGAAGCAGAACAATCAATATAATTAACCCATGGCCAGGTCTTGCTCTACAGCCTGCCTTTCCGACGCTACCTCGTCTTCGTATCTACCATGCAGCTGTCTCCACACACAAGAAGCAGGCCGCTCTTCCTGGGGGTGCAGAGAGATCACCGAAAGGTTGCGAGTCACCGCACCCACGTGCGGCCGTCTTTTACTCCATAGTATGTACTACTTCTTAACATTTTCGCCATTTAATTTGGATCGCACCAATGCAGCACATTCTGCGGGGCCCCATGGACTCTTTTTCTGCTGAAAACTTGTTCCTATTTTCTCCTGCTGTGCTGCGGTACCATGGTGCGTCGATGGTAGAGATGTGTACATCTCACATCCAGTCCAAAATCCCACACTAAACGTGTACTGCTGCCTGTACTTGTACAGAACATAAAATGCATAGTTACTCTTGGTACATAACAAATAATTGTCCGTTGAATTGGTTGAATTGAGATATTGAGAAGCCACCAAATTGTTGTACACCAGGCACCCACCAGATGCCGTGACCGCACGTGACACAAAATAGCACACCCCCCCTGGCCCGACAATGAAAGGTCGAATTCTTCACGACCGAGAGGAATCCACAAACATGATACGCTTCCGGAAACATCTCGACGAGACGGGTTGAACGCTGCCATTTTTCGGCATCGCCTATCTTACTGGTGTGGAATCGCGCTCTGAAGAACAGTCAAGGGGGGTGGTATCTTGTGTCACCTGAGGTATCGCTGTGCTGAGTGTACATCACACAGGACCCAGCAGACGGAGCAAACGCAGCAGACCTCTACGAGCCACCATCACGGCTCACAGTGAAAGGGGCGTTATAGAGTTATGTCGGGTGGCTGCAGCAACAGCGCTCACGTCCAGACCTCAACGGTTCAAGGCAGGTGCGGCTTCCGCCCAGCACCTCACCTCTTTCCAACTCTTTCCAACGAAACAGGACAGGACAGGACAGACAAGGAGTGATGAACACGCGGCGCACCCTTACCTTATGTCCAGCGTTCGGTTGAAGGGCACCCTGGTCGGTCGAGGGAGGTCACAGACGGTCAGAGCTGTAGTACCTGCGCAGTGTAGACGGACCTATGGACGTCAGCAGGAGCGGCGACATGACCGTGTCCATTCTGTCTGAGGGCGTCCATAACTTCGGAGGAACGTCATCAAATTTAGGATAAAAAAATTCCCTTTTCGAATTATTTTTTTCAAAATCTGTTCTCGGCACAACAAAGATCTCTTGGTCGGAGCTGTGGGATGTCCACAAAAATCCACAAAAATGCTCTCATATTCGTTTTCAAGAATGTATTCCATGTGTATTTCAATTCTCCTATGTTTTGACAGCTGTGACAGGCAGTGCTTGAGAGGGCAGACACTGGGGGCTTTCCAGCAATGCGCTACAAGAGGCGGAGAGACTCAACACCACACGACCGTTAACACGTGGTCACGCCTTCGTACTCGACAAGACTACCCTGCCATCCCTACCCACCCTTCCTCTCACTATGATGAACCAACGGGTCCGCCGGCCGCCATGTGAGTGAGGTTATAAGCAGTCAGTTCCGAGGCGCGCACTATGAATGGGTATGACGTTCGTTGAGTGAGGAGTGTGTACACATGTGGGAGCGTCACTCTTCGCCAGTAAGTTGTTCTGCATATTGTATCCGTAGCAGGCTTCAATTTTGGTTTCGGGCCGCACGTGCACCATCGTTGTGGAGGCTGCGACCCTCTGTAATCACTAACGTCCACGGCCTGGGTGTGAGAGTATCATCCGAATTCATCCGAAGTGCGTGGTTGGGCGTCTTTATCGACGGTCTCGCGTCTCCCGTGATCGCTGGAGGAAAATAGCTCTTGAGATACTCCGCCTCCGTCCGCTTTGTCTTTTTTCCATGCACGCCTCGGAGCTGAAAGCTTGCTTCTTTGTAATGGAATAATCTAGAGCGCCATTGTCCGCATCACCCCAGTTGTTGATGGAGTAGTTTGACTTGAGACCGAAGCGTTCCGACCTCCGTCGAGTACCACTCAGGTATGTATACCTCACACACATCAGTTTGCGGTACAGAGTAGTTCTTCCCATGCTACCCGTACCCCCCTTTGGATTGGGACGGCAACGAAAAATATTACCCCGCGTTCACGCACATGCCAACGGACGTCTTGGCTGCCACCGCAAGACCCGTTTCGGCTCGGGCTGTCGGGGTTGGGCGGATGTGGGGAGCCATGTATGTACAGGTAGTTAGTGTCCATCGGTGCAGACCCGACTCTTGTGGTCATGAATATCAGCAGCGTGAACGAAGCGGTATTCATTTTAACCATGCTTATTTATGATTAACATACGTTGTACAAGCAGTCTATCTAGATAAGGCTGGTTGTCCGCTTCTTTTGCCGTCTTCGTGTAGAAATATCGAAAACCTGCATCTGCTGCATCCATGCAAAACTTCTGTAGTGAATGTTGGATTCACGTCGCGGCATCATCCTGTGGCAGCTGCTTGTTGTCGTCGATGGGTATGTGGTTTTGACATGCCTCGCGTGTTGCGTTTCTTCTTCGTGGATGCTGTGGAATCGTACTTGCGCAATGTTGTTTCTCTCCGAGTTCCCGGTGTCACTCGCCTGTTGCCATAGTCGTCACCGCCGAAAACGCACATACCGCGTACCACCTGCCGCCACAAAGGGGCCACCGTACATTATGGCCGTCAAGAAGGGGCCACCCCGTACTTCATGGCGTTTCCGCTGTTTTAATATCTTGCCGCCTCCGCCAAAGCCGTTGCCGCCGAACAGCGCAATAAATACTGCCTACTGCTGTAGTTAATGCTGCCAAAACAATCACCAGCACATGGCATTGCTGCCGAAGAATTTCAGCCATATTCAGGTTTTACCGCGTCCGCCGAAGTCGTTTCCGCCAAACAACGCAGTACCACCTACCGCCGAAAATCATGCGACGGTATGGCTACCGCCGAAATATTTTGTTTATCCGAATTCACGCTGTTCTTTCTCTTCACCTGTTGTTGTTTACAGCGTAACACGTCACAAAGCGGTAAACTTGATTTCTCTTGGTCCTCCTACTCAATGTGCCGTCGGATGCTAGTATTTCATGATTTTTTTCCCCGCCATTTTGTGTTTATCTGTCGCCTTAGACGCCATGGGGACGATTTTGCGGAGACTAGTTCTGGTGTGCGTTGCAACTGCCTGCACCGGCCGTGACTCGAGCGACCCCCGTGTTCCGGAGACCGAAGCCGAAGCGATGCCGAGTCGGCGGATGAACCATCCCGCCCGGTTCCACTCCAGGAAGTAAGTGAGAATCATGACTCGTCCGCTTGAAGCCCCGCTTACTTGTGTGTATTTTCTGTGTTCGTTCGTGGTCACGAATGTAACATGCGTGACTAGGAAGGTGCATCGCGGTGGAAGACGACCGCTGTCAGTTACTATGTAGGCGATCTTGTTGCCACCGAAAGATGATGATGTACGTTGGCTGATAGTTTCAGGTTGACCCAGGAGCTCGTCCAACAGGATCGCGGCGCGTTGTAGACGCACATGGATATGCATCAATGGAGAAGCCCGAGCCGTCTTTTGGCAATCGTAGTTTTATTCTACTAAAAGAAGGACGCCTTCGTGTATATTCATGAACGGGGGGCGACGTTCCAGAGAGCCGTCGAGGTCGACGGAGGGCCGACGCTTGGAGCCACAGCGTGCATGCCGTGTTGTCGTTAACCAGCCATGTGTCAAGCCAGCGTAGTGATTACACCTGACGGTCTGGAATTACCTGTGATACCAACGTCGTCGATTGCAAGTCTGCACCCGTTGTAAACCGTATACCGCCACGTGTTTTGCTTGGCTTGATCTTCGTCCACAGCGCAAAGATTCTGGCCCGACAGAGCGTCTTGAGGGACCAGGCGAATATTACGGCTGAAGCAGTACCGGAGGAGGCAGATTCGATCAAGCCTGTCGCCATACCATTCAAGCAAAAACCTGGTTAGTTTATGCGGTCGCTGGTTTCCCTCGCTGGGAATTCCCTACCCCATTTGTTTCGTTGATTGGTGAACCGAGTGTGCCTGGGGTTTGGTTGTCATAAACAAGCGAAATTGTTTGGTTGTTAATTCTATTTTTTGTCCGGTTTATTTTGGGCCTTGCTGAGTACGTTGGTCTGGTGCAGGTGCCCGGTTCGTGCCCATCACGTCGGGATGACGTAGAATACCACGAGATTCAAACCCTCACGCGGAGGATTTGGTGCCGAAGCCTCGTGTTTGCTCTTGTTGTCCGTCTTCTCACGCTCGACAAGTTCAACAACCGACAAGCAACAAAAAACGTGTGTTTTCCTTGATGAACGCCTCACTCAACAGGTTCATCAATTCAAAATCACCCTTAACATTCGCGATTTCACAACAGTCATCATCGTGGTCGATAGCGTGCTGCTTGGTCTTGGTCGTGATGTTTCCGCTGAGTGCATCCGTTCCCGTTTGTTTGTTGCGCGATCAGATGAATTCGGGGAACGTGGACACGGGCTATCTCTCGTCGCCCTCGGCGGTAAGTCGCTTACCTTAAGAACGGTGGGGCGCGAAGGTGGACGTTAGATGGGCGTTGTTTACCAACAAAGGCACTTGCTCGTAACAGGTAGTAGCCCGAATTATTCTGCCGTCTGCATATACGTGACAAGTCTCCTTTGCACGTTTTCTGTTTTGTTTTGTTGATGGCGAACGATGTCTTCTGCACCCTATACTCGTGTTCTCTCTCTGACGCCAATCTTTAGAACCGAAAAGCGGCACGACTTGGCTGGGAAGAATGGTTCCGTCGCTGGCTATCGAGCTATGCGGGAGCGAAAACAACCCGTGGTGAGAGGAATGCCCTCGCTTGCTGAAATGTGATCGAGAGGGCCGATGGGCGTCGTTTTCGAGCCGGATTGCTTTGTCTTCGAAACGTGAAAAGTGGCGTTTTCAACTACAGCAGTACGTGGACCATTGTTGTGTCGTGCTTCGTGAGTTATGCATCGAGTCCACGGTCCCCTTAAAAAACCTAGTCGACAAAATAACTCTGACTGCTGGTTCTGGCCCCATGTTACCTTCGCGGATGACGCCCGACCGAAGTCTAGAAATCGCGCCGATCATGTTCCAAGAACATTTGTGGCCCAAACTCCTCACGATGCACAGGGTTCTGTCTCGGTCTTCATCCTGCTAAGATGACTCTTCCCGAATCTCAAGATGCTCGATATGTGCCCGGAAGCGTGCCGACGTTTTGGGTGTATTCGGCGACAATGTAGATAATCTTTGTGGTGATTTCAGGCTGTCATTCCTCGTTTTCCGGAGGCCGGTTGCCGGTTTTCGGTCCTGCTCGACGGGCCGAGTTTTAGTTTTCCTCTTTGATATTTTTGCCCAGAACTAGCCACGGCAGCCTTGCCCAGATTGTGATGTTCTCGTCCCGAAACTTCACGAACTATTTTGCAGGTGCCAGCTTGGGGGAGTCGAAGTCTTCCCACATCCTCCTGCGCCGTCCTACGAGTTCGAATTGCTCAACATATCAACCCCGACCGGCAGGCCAAGACTCTTCCTCCACTTTCAGGTGTGGCGACAGCACTGTTTTTTGTTGATTGACTGATAGAACGCATGGGACGGTCATGGGATGTCCTATGGGCCGTCCCTCGCGGTCCCATAGGAAATACTTGGACACCAGGTTGGGCTGCCAACGAGAAACGTGCCACGCCCCACGGGAAACATCACCAAAAACGCAAGAATGCCAGAACCAGAGAGATGTATTCACTGCTCTCAGTTGCAGTAGAGACGCAAAGCAATGTCCTCGGCAATCGCGGATCGATGTAGTTGAATGCACATGATGTTCGAAATGTGTAACGCTGGTTTGGTTTTAGCTACTTTCCCACTTCCGGTGACGACCCTGACAGTTGCGAAAGATTGTGTTGTACCTGCCTGATTCTCGCTCTCAAGTGGAAAACCATCACAAAAAAAAACAGCCTGTTGTTCCAAGCGAGAACTTCGGGGGCATCCCGGACAACTGATTGTACCATGTGATGCCATTTTTTTTACCATTTTTGTGGAACTAACCTTGACGCCACCAAGCCCTGATGGACAGCGGCGGGTTCACAGGTAGGCTGACAGTTCGCGAGTAAGTACCACCCCTCATATTCGTTGCCTGTGGTGCTTCTCGTCTCTCCGCGAACAGGGGCGCATCAAGCACATCATCCCGGGGATGGATCTCGGAATTCCTCTCAAGTGCCGCAATGGAGGGCGACTGCACAAGGAAGGTTTCATGGATCTCCAACCGTGTGATTCAGGAGAATCACCTACGAGGGAGCGGCTCGAATCTTGCCTCTGGAATACGACTAAACGCTGTGTTAACTACATGACGAGCACGGACCCGGCCGTTCGGCGGTGAGCCGACTCGTTGGACGCTAAACGGGTTGTTTCAATGATTGTGTTTGCTTACGACGGGCCAAGTGTGTGACATATTTCCAAGTCCATCTTTGAGTCGTATCGAGTCGTGTTTTGGTTGGATTTCTCACGGTTATCAATGTTCGCGTAGTATCGTCGAATATATTGCAATGCGTCGAAAAACTGAACCTATGCCGTTCGTGCGCCTATCAATCCTTCAGATCAATCGTCCTCTTTCGTGACCCACGGGACGTTGTAATATCGGAGTACAAGATGCGGACCCAGGTGTTTCATAGGGATCCGTGGATCGCGAGCCTTTCCCTGGAGGAGTTCGTTCAGTTCAAGTTTGAGGTGAGCCATATCACAACCGCAGCGTTGTGTTGTCGTGAGTTTGCGTCCGCATGGAGGATGTCAGACGGTGCACATATATATACGGGACTTGTTCTTCTGGGTCGTTTCGCGTTGAACATCAACTCCCTCCGCTCGAAGTATGTCGGTGTTGATGTTGAGAAAAGTAATCTGCTCCACTGCTGTTTCTCGCCAATGAATGAGACGTTAGGCCTTCGACGTGTATATGTCTTGCACATGGGCAACTCGTATTTTTCGGCCGAGGTTCACGGTCTCGTTCTTTTTTGCCCGCTGCTCTTGTCCATGCAGGTGCTAGTCTCGTGGCTTCACCAGCGATACATGTGGCACACAGGCGACCTGATGGGCCCCTCATCCCACGTCGAGTTCTACGACGAGCTACAGGTACCAGCACTACCAGCACAACCCATTTTTCATCGTTTTCCCGACTTGTGTCCGTCGCCCTTCGAAGCACCACCACGTCAAGTTTAACCCCTGCAAGAATCAGGCCATTCGAGTCCGTCAGAAGTACTAGAACCCCTTGTTTCGAATGTTGGTGAGCTTGTCAAGATAGCCGTTGCCATGCTTCGGCTATTACGCGGTCATCATATCGAAAGCCCGCTCTCCTTGCTTCCCCGCCTTGACCCGTCTCGAGCAGAGGAGCCCTGTTGGATTCATCGGAATTGCTCGTCTCATGGGCCTCGAGTGCTCCGAAGACCAGGCGTACAAGGTGTGGAAAGCTCACAAGCAGGCCTCTCCCAACGGGGGCTTCGCCACCCGGGTCGGGGAAGAGACTATTCAGTTCATGAACGCGACGATGGCGAGGCTGCTCCCTCCATCCGTAGTGATTCAATGGGGCTTAACGCCGACCGAGATCTGAAGAATAGCTGATACCAAATGTTTTTGGCATTTGTGATGTTTGTTACTCCTGTGGGTGGGCTGCAGCTCTCTAGTCATGTCATTGGGAAATTGGCTTGAGAAGTGGACGGGAAACTGCCAATGGGCTTTGCTCTTTTTGCATCGGAGGGACACGTAAATGTAAAATTATGGTTTTTTCAAGGGTTCCTCGGTAACGGTGATTTCGTCAGGCACAGGCGGGGGCGGTATCACCATGCGGCGGCGGTTATTGTTTTTGGTCTGTCGACCTAGGCTTTCTCGCGTTCTTGGCGGAAGCGGTAGAATATCCATGTACGAATAATTTCTTGTGTCAATTTGTAGGTAGTACCCATACGGCGTTAATTGATTTTTCGGCACAAGAAGGTTTTGCTGCGATGCGACTTTTTGTTTGGCGGATGGCGGTAAAAACCTGCAGAAAACCGTCGTTGAACCGGTATCGCCCATCAGGGCGGTTATTTCGCGGCGGTAAGATTCCCGAGTAAACATTCCTTTTATTTATTGTGCGTGATTGCGAAAGGCGGATTGTGTGTTGCGTAAAAACACACACACACACACACACACACACACACACACACACACACAGGGGGCTCCAAAATCGATGACACCACGGCGTGTCATGTCGTAGCCGCAGTGGATCCACTGTGGAAAAATATTTCAGAGTTCTCGACTACGATGAGGCTCTTGGTCCCACATCGCAGCGTCCCGCGCCGTACCTGAAAGAGGACCCGTTAGTTTTTGAGACAGAGAATTGAGGTGTCTCGATTCACAAAATCTTAGGCCCTTTCCTTCCCCGCTTCTTGTCTTCCGTGCGCTAAAGTCACGGCCGTGCAGTTGTGGCACAAGACATACAAATATATTGCATGGTATCCAAACGGCGCGATGTGCCTGGCAGAGGCACATACATACATCGTGTGTTGTCCACATATCGTACTACCAGCGCCAAAATTGGTGACTGCTCACGAAAATGGTTCCGAGAGACAAACAACTTCGTACTCAGGCCGGATTCAGTCTTCCCGGAGTACCGTGCGGCAAGGTTATCGCCACGACACAATCACCCGTCTGATAGGGGTTCTGCAAAGGGTTCGGCGCGCGCGGGTGTCCATGCGACAGACGGTCACTGCCGTCTCACAGGTATGTATGCATTCCTTTACAAGACGGGCTCCATACAAGGGAGGTTCAAAGTGATAACCTCCAGCAGATTCCCTACCTAAATAGCCCTCGGAGTTAATATGTAGCTATGTGACAAATCCTGAACGGAGGTAATCGTGGAGCCGAACAGACAAAGCGGCGAGGACGAAAAAGATGCCGCGTCCACCGTCGTGCACTTCACACGAAACACACATGCTTAACGCCCGACAACACACTGCGCGCAGTACGGAATGACGTTTATCTTCGGCGGTATGTCGGCACCATTTTTTTTCTGAAGGAACAACTCCTCGAATTGCCTGTATATTTACCCTTGACTACATAGTACCCATTACTCTGTGTCCCCACCCAACTAGCGACCTAGCTGCAGCTTGCAAACTCTTGCTTCCAGGACTGCTCCAACTCACAAAATTCTGCGCCGCACCTAAAGAGGTCACAGCTTTCTTCCCGCCGTAAGAAATCGACGCCCCCTCGCAAAACAAGCGAGACTAAAATGCCAAACGAAATCGAGGTCCCTAGACCTAGACATACTATGGAAACAAGACAAGAACTAACAAGCAAGACCCACCTATACAAAATACCATGTGACTGACCTCCGGGTGTGACAAGAAACAATCTGCTGGGAACCAATCCTTAGACCTCTCCGGGTGACGGCCTGCAGGAAATCCTTCTGGTGCGCTGTCCACGACAGGCTCGCAACAGCGGTTAGCCTCGTGGACTAGAGTACTATACAAGACTTCCCATTCACAAGAAACGGAGAGATTTGGGTATTTGCACGGTCTTTTTCCGGTGCGTTGTCCACGTCAAGCTCGCACCACCAGGCCCAGCAACTCGGGAGTATCTATAATACGAGGATTTTCCACGTTCGGCCGAGTTGGGCGAGATATCGAACACAGATACTGAACACACACAAATATGGGCTGGGCCCATACGACTTACCAAATCATATGCAAACAAAAACACCAACATGTCGACCTCCCACTGACAAAAAATACAGAGATCTGGGTTGCAAGGGCATAATTCGGTTCGCTTGTCCACATCGGGGTCGCACCAGGAGACCCAGCTACTCGGGAGTCTATGATACAAAGCTATTCCACCTTCGCGAGTTGACTAAGTTTATTTTCTCCACAAACATATGAGCTGGGCCCATACGGCTCACCACCAACTACGAAGCGCACCACTGCAAAGAACAATCACGCGCGGAACGACGACACTACACTCTTAATTGGTGCTATCCTCAACAACAAAGACACGAAGATAGCATTGGGCATGCTGTCGTGTATCGCCTACATCCGATGCGTGCCGTGTGGCGGTCGTCAACAAACTCCTCATAATATCGTCACGTACGAAGGCTTTGTGCAACAACGCGTACAATAGGTCCCAAGCGTCGTGTGCTCTCGCCCCCCCAAAAATACCACCGCAATAATCACGTCATATATTGTACAAAGATTATATTGCCTGGACAAAACCCAACCTTTGTCGGTCATCTTCTTCCCATCCCAGTGCGGGACGTGAGATCTTCCTCAACGGACTACAGCCAAACAAAAACTCAGATATTAAGACATTAACAGTAGAGGATCGCGCACGTAATCATTTCCATCACCTAGATTTCTGTGCGGTGCTATGCATACCATCCTCAAGCAATTTCCACAACGAATACGGTAGGAATACAGTATGTCGCGCACATCACACATTTTATCTCCATTCCGGTTCTGTGCCATGTTATCATCCTCAGCATCGTGAGGAGGGCCTCCCATAAATGGCAGAGCTAAACATATGTCGCGCGCATAAGCTACTGTGCGGCCGCGACAGCCACTATTCACTGCAAACCCCGAGCAGGTTTCGCTGCTGGCAAGCTAAAACTACCTCGACGTGGATCCGCAATCGCTTATCGAACGACAATTGTTTCCGGTTCATTTAACGCAGCATCGCTGGATACTCTTGACTTCGTCCGAGGTGATCATTTCCAGCCGCTGCGCGTCGGTGTTGATCCACTCGTCGTACACGCTGTACTCGTTGAGAGTTGTCTTCCACTCGATGCCGTACACCTGGAATACGAGAACGTCACCAACAGACCACAACCACAACAACAACAACAACAACAACACGCGACGAGTAAAACGGTGTCCCCAGTACGTAACGAAGTCGACGTGGTTCACCGAAGAGGGGCACGAAGCAATTGCCAAGTTCCTCTGCCTATTTTCTTTACTGGTGCCAACATTTACTCGTCGGCAATCATTATACCGTGTCGGGTTCTACGTCAAAGTCACACTTCACAGACATGTAACAGGTTTCTGTGCTAGAAGCTGCTGCTCTGCCCGTTTTCATTGCTGGTGGGAACATTTACTCGTCGACAATGGCTACATCCTGTAGGGTTCTACGCCAAAGTCGGACTTCACAGAAACTTCGTGTCCTCCCTACCCGAGGCCAGAAAAAAGAAGAGGGTGCCTAGACGAGCACTGGTTTTCGCAGGGCGCAACACACTCATTGAGAATCTTTATCCTTACCTCAACGTCTGGCCTGTAGAGGCAGATCCGATCGACGAAGAACGGTCCTCCTCGAGCGCACGACGTCGGGAGGAAGAACCGCTTCGCCCGCGAATGCCTGACCAACAAGCGGGTGATGGACGATTTTGCCAGGACCACGTTCTCGGCGCACAGCATGTCCCGGAGGTCCGTGTACAAGTCGCGGTCCTGGAGTTGGACGTGGTGGTTATCCACACGCACAGTAAGGCGAAAAAAAAACACAGTGGTTGTAAGCGGTGCAGCGTACCCGAGTGATTAACGATAGTGGCTGTGGCAAGTCCGGGAGCTTCGAAGATGGTGGGAGGGTTAAAAAGACAGTCGGAGGTTCGAAGACGAGCTTTCCACGAAAGTTACACTTCTTGAGGTTGAAGAACTGCGGGCGCATCCCAAATCAAGCCTAGTTTGACTGCGTTTGCACTCACGAAAGACAAATGTTAATAGGTGTGTCGACAAATACAGTGATAACACAAGCGAAAGATGTTTCGAGTTAAGCGGACGCCACCAGCTTGGCTTCCCTGCATCTTCAATCCTACCTTACGGAATCTGTCTTCGCTTGTCTTCGGCAACACAACACTTGAACTCTCCTACTCTCCCTCACAAAGTCATCGCACCGGATAGAAGTTGGCGGGCGCCCCCAAGAGCCCTTGCTTGTCCAGCTCCTGCAACACGCCGAAGGTCGGGTTGAACTCCCTCTGAATCCTGGCGTTTGTCAAGACGGAGATGTTGCTCCATGGCCTGCTGCCTATCACCTTGAGATAGAATTGGAGGGGTGGCTTTTGGGGGCCACGGGGATGTTGTGGGGTCGGATCACAAAGGGAGGGAAGCGTCTTCAGTACATGCAGGGTTGGGGCGTGGCTTGCACGATTACGCGGGTGGCACGAGTCGAGCATTGCTCTTTTTGTGTTAAAACCTGACAAGAGATATCTTGATGGCCTCCCCGGGGTACGGGCAACCAGGCATTGGTCAGTCCTATGTGTTTTTGTTTTGACGAAACACAGCGGCGGTGAATATGTACACTCTCTCTAGGTTGTTTTCGGGCAGGGTTACCGGGGGGGGGGGGGGGGGGGGGGGGGGCCCAAAAACGGGCCAGCCCAAATTTTTAAACCTTTAACCCCCCCCCCCCCAAAAACGGGGGGGGGAAACCCCGGGTTTTCCCCGGAACGGGGTTCCCATTACCCAAAGGGAAAACCCCGGGGAAATTTCCCCAAGCCCCAAAAGGGGGGCCCCCCCCCCCCCAAAGGGGGTTGGGCCTTTTGGGTTTTTTTCTTTGGGGAAAAAAAAAACCCGGAAAGGGGTATTTTTTTTTTGGGGGCTTTTCCTCCCAAAAAAAGTTTAAAAACTTTTAAAAAAGCCCGCGGGGGGGTGGACCAATTTAAAAAAAAGGGG